CAAGCGCTAATGAGGGTGCGAGCGGGTGCGAATTGTAATTTCCCATAGGATATGTATTTCCGAACAGGGTGCGAATTGTAATTTCCCATAGGATTTGTGCTTGGAATCCAAGAAAAACAAGGGTGCGAATTGTAATTTCCCATAGGATATGTATTTCCGAACAGGGTGCGAATTGTAATTTCCCATAGGATTTGTGCTTGGAATCCAAGAAACACAAGCGCTAATGAGGGTGCGAGCAGGTGCGAATTGTAATTTCCCATAGGATATGTATTTCCGAACAGGGTGCGAATTGTAATTTCCCATAGGATTTGTGCTTGGAATCCAAGAAAAACAAGGGTGCGAATTGTAATTTCCCATAGGATATGTATTTCCGAACAGGGTGCGAATTGTAATTTCCCATAAGATTTGTGCTTGGAACCCAAGAAACACAAGCGCTCATGTGGGTGCGAGCGGGTGCGAATTGTAATTTCCCATAGGATATGTATTTCCGAACAGGGTGCGAATTGTAATTTCCCATAGGATCTGTGCTTGGAATCCAAGAAAAACAAGGGTGCGAATTGTAATTTCCCATAGGATATGTATTTCCGAACAGGGTGCGAATTGTAATTTCCCATAGGATATGTATTTCCGAACCGGATGCGAATTGTAATTTCCCATAGGATTTGTGCTTGGAATCCAAGAAAACAAGGGTGCGAATTGTAATTTCCCATAGGATATGTATTTCCGAACAGGGTGCGAATTGCAATTTCCCATAGGATTTGTGCTTGGAATCCAAGAAACACAAGCGCTAATGAGGGTGCGAGCGGGTGCGAATTGTAATTTCCCATAGGATATGTATTTCCGGACAGGGTGCGAATTGTAATTTCCCATAGGATTTGTGCTTGGAATCCAAGAAAAACAAGGGTGCGAATTGTAATTTTCCATAGGATTTGTGCTTGGAATCCAAGAAACACAAGCAGACGCTAATCAGGGTGCGAGCGGGTGCGAATTGTAACAAGCAGAAGTCTAGAAAAGTGTTTGAAGTTCTCCGCAGATACAACGAAGAATTTCGAATAATTTCGAAGAATTTCGAAGATTTACGAAGATCTAAGAAGAATGGTCTAGAAAAGTGTTTGAAGTTCTCCGCAGATACAACGAAGAATTTGGAAGAATTTCGAAGAATTTCGAAGATTTACGAAGATCTAAGAAGAATGGTGAAGAACCTGGAAGAATGAAGAATATTATGGAAGTTTACCGGAAGAAAACGGAATACTTCCGAATATTTAAGCAGAAGTTCAAACATTTCTGAATATTGTTGAATAGGGTTAAACACACTGAGAAGTACCCTTCTGAGAAGCCTCCCTATCCTCACAAAAGATCTACTACCCTGGACCCTTACTAATTAATAAATCTTCTTCAACAACCGGGCTCAGAAACATAAAACTTTGAAACTTGACCAAGCAGGGCCAACAAGTTTACAGTTCTCCCATTGCCTGTCCAAGTAAACTACAAACATCCCGTACGCCCTGAACCTACCTCCTGGTCGATGGTCGGGTGTCTGATTTCGGGTTTAGTTAAGGTTACGGAAGGTTTTTGGGGTCTATGGCTCAAGCTGTGTATGTACGTACATATGCACCCAATATATAAACGCAAGCATCTTCTGGTGTAGGACATGCCTTAAGCCTTCAGCCTAAGCCCTAGAGTCTAACCCCCCCCCAGGGCTAGCATTTTGTAGGGCATGCAACCCCTAGCAGCGGAATCTGAAGTGGGACGAGCAGCCAGCAGGGTGTTGTCGGGCAGGTTGCAGTAGCGGTTGCACACAGAATCCTGGCTTAGAGTGGACCGACAACGCGAACTGTAAGCATAAGGATCTGAATGAAATAACACGGCAATGTTCTCCTCTTCGGGTCCTCTTGGAGGTATACTTCTTTTCCAACCCCCCACACCCTAGACTCTAAGTACTAAGGACTCTACAATTACTGTTGATGGTATAAATCTTGCATTACCTCAATGATCCTAAACTATGGGAATTATGGTATATTCCTTGTCAATGGGTAGTGCAGGATTTATATTATCAACCGTATTGACGACGAAAATCCTGAGCCCTAAATCCTTTGGGTTCGGAGTGTTTTACATGCTGGAGGCATCCTGGCGGTTCAAAGTGCAGTCGGGCACAGGATTTAGGTTCAGCGCTTGGGGTGTTGGCGAGTTCCTGCCGTGAGATATAATTTAAAACACCTACAGAAACCCCAAACCTTACACTCCCAACCCGAAATCCTAAACCCTACGAAACTCCAGGTCCTAGACCCCAAATTGAACCCTACACCCCCAACCCTACACCTTGAGTCCCCAAGAGCACATCTTCAGTGTCGCTTTACTCAGGTTCACAGCATCGGAAGTACTATAAAATGGGCCTTCATAGAAGCACTGGGTTATATTCGAGTCTACTAGTAGCTTTGGGCTAAAGTATTGGGTAATATTCACATTCGAGTAAGATACATTCCTTGCAAGTAAGCATGTGTTACGTATGTAAACTATGACTGACTACGATGATATTCCGCCAAAGCCTCTGGTATTGAGGGCCTTCGCGTTAACCCTCTTAAGCTCCAGCCATATCTTCCAAAAGCCGCGACGTAAAATCCTCCAATGCCCCAAACCCTACAAACGCCCTATGAGACCAGCGAGAATGCCCTCAAGGAGCCCAATAATAAACACCCTAACTCCTAAACCCCTAAACCCTAAACCCACAAACCCCCCAAACCCCTAAGCCTAAACCCCTAAACCCCAAAACCCCCAAGACCCCCAAAACCCCAAAACCCTAAAACCCCCCTTAAAGCCCTAAACCCTAAAAGGAGCCTTCGGGGGCTTCGACTTCAAGTCGGCTTTGGCCCTGACCACGGCAGGCAGATGCTGAAGCCCCGTGACGGCGAGAACGAGCCTCAAAGGAGGGGAGCCCTTGAAGGAAGCTTAAAGGGGCCCTTTTAAAGGAAGCCCACAAAGCAGCCCTTGAAGCGAGCCTTAAAGGAACCTTACAGGGGCCTTTAAAGGAGAGCCCTTAAAGGGAGCCTTAAAGGAAGCCATTGAAGGGGCCCTTTAAAGGAACCGTAGGCCTTAAAGGGATTAAGGTTTTGAGGGTTGTAGTGGTCTTCTGGGGGATTCGGTCGTAGAGGGTTTCTTCAGGGGCCTCCCAGTTCACGGGGCTTCGTAGGTAACTCTGCAGGTTCCTATGAGGGTTCTGCGGAGCGCGCAGGGGAGCCCTCCGAGGGACAGTTAGGGTTGAGGGTCTAGGGTTTCGGGTTTAGGGTTTATAGGGTCTAGGGTTTAGTGTTTAGGGTTTAGGATTTAGGGTTTAAGGTTTAGGGTTTAGGGCCCAAGCCGTAAACCTAGGCTTCAGGGTTTTGGACTAGTAAGGCCTTACAGCTTCTGGGCTTTTCAGAGGGTTTTGGTGGCTTGGACTTGAGTGCGTTAGTGCTTCAGGGGCTTCACTGTTCTGGCTGTTGGGAAGCGCTGGGGTTCTCCAGGACCCTCCTTGTACCCTCAAATAGGGGTAAATGGTCCCAAATAAGGGGCATTTAGGGTCAAATAGAGGGTAGATGGAGGGTCTAGGCTAGTTCTTTTGGGCTCTGGAGGGCTCTGGCTTCTGGTATTTGGTGCCTTAGGGGTTTCAGGGGGAGGAAGGCGCGATGGCGCAGGATGATAGGCTTAGTTGCTGAGTTCATAAGCCCCCCAAAAAGGTGCACACTTTCAGTTCTATAGTGGGTAATATTATCCCAAAAAGTGTAAAGTGTATCTATCTATCCACTCAGCTACTACGCAAGGAATCCTGGATCCTGAACCTCGACTCGGATCCCCACGAACCCAGGAAACGAAACGGGCTCCCGTTTTGGTGTTTTGCATTTGGGTGGTTGTCAATATTAAATCCCTTTTTGGGTCCTTATTATCATACGGCACCTAATATTTAGGGTACCCAAAAAGGAACCCTAATTTTGACAACGACCCATTGGGGTAGCTTCAGAAGGAACCTAAGGCAGCAACAAGGGGAAAAGGGGACCACACTCAAAAGCCCAGTTGAGTATGAAAGCTCCGAGGACTTGCAAGTTGACTACCCAAATGGGACTTTCCGAAAATTAGGGGTCCCTACTATTGAGGGTGCTAGATTATGCCAAAGGTTGGGGTTGGATGTTCGGATTTACGGATCAGTCTGTATGGTTTGAGGGTATAAGTCTTAACTTAATTGGCTTAACTTGGGATGGGGGGTTTAAGTTTGAGGGTGTGAGGATTTAAATCCCTCGTCAGCCGCTGTTTTCTCTTGTCCGCACATTGTTGCTGCCCTTGTTAGGTTAAGCAGCTCTACAGCATGTTCGCAGCCCTATGCCGTGACGCCTAACCTTGACGTTCACCTCCAAACATAGCAAAGAGATCTGAGACACTCGTAACAAGTTCAGGCTATGGAGTCAGGGCATGTATGTGTATGTGTCTGTATATGTGTTATATGTGTGTTTATACAAGTATATATATATATATATATATATATGTTATATGTATAGACATACATATATATATATATATACACATACATGTGTGTGTGCTCATGCCATATGTATGTATGCCTCAGGGCCCTATCTAGTCATCAAGACTCCAAGAAAGACCCCATCTCAGACCCTAAGCCCGAATTCTGTCATACCCAAAGTCTGCAGCCCCGAACCTGACAACCGCAAAGACCACAAACCTCAAAAGGGGCGGGTAACAGGCTTTAAGACTGAGTTTTACAAGTTTAGGAGCATCATTGTAAAGCCCCATGTGACAGCATTCTGAAGACCAACAAACACACGCTCAGGCGGTTCCTTCAGCCGGCCAAAACACTCACTGCAACATCGATTTGATCTCATGCTTGGAGGTTCATGGGTAGTTATAAGTGGGGTTATAAGTAGGGTAGCTATAGTCATAAGTCCTATTAGGGGACTTATAACCCTACTTTTATAAACTACACGTGAACCTCCAAGTACAATCCTTACGTTGCGTTATCCGCGGCCCTCGAACTTACCCGGATGCAGCCCGGGCGGCACTGCAGTAACCAAGAGGTCATCCCAGAAAAGCCAGTCCGTGAGCTTCAGGAAGGACCTGATGGGGCGCACAGGTTAAGCAGCTGCGTTTTGAGGAATGAGAAGCTTATGGTTTCGGGGTTCGGAGCCTAATTAGGTCCTTGAAGCCCTTCTGACCTCTTCTACAACTGTGTTGTTGGCCTTTAAACACCCTGAAAAATATTTATATATAGGGTCCCTTATAAACCCAAATAAGGAAAATAAAAAATGTCCCCAAATCCAACCTAGACAACTCCCTTCAGGACCCGCTTCTCGGGGCCTTTCAAAGCATGCGGAGGACGCGCGGTCAGGGTGGATGGTTGAGAGGTGGAGGGGGGTTAGCTAAGCGGCTTCGCGTATCTCCCAGAGAGCCCAATACCCCTTAATTAAGGAATATACCTTAAACCATATGGGGCTTCATATTATGGTTTAAGCTATATTCCTTAATTAAGGGGGTATGGCTCTCTGGGCTGGTCTCTTGTCGCAGCTAAGCCCAATGTTCATTACCCTCGTAAGACTGTTGTAATGTGCGCCACAACATCATTTACTCCCAGAGCCCTAACCGTGACCCTATGCAAGTTTAGCAACACTGTAAAGTGTTCGAAATGAAGTTGAAACCTTAAGCCCTAAAGCCTAAAATCCAAACACTATCCCTAAACCCTTTTAGAAGCCTTGTATATAAAAACCCTTCCTAGGGGAAAAGACCCCTTTTCTTCGAGCTCTTAAGAGAACCCACGGCCGGGCCACTCTACCACGTCCTTCATCGCCCAGGCGAGGATCATGGGTAGGCCTGTTTGGGGGCTTCATCGAATTAGGGGTTTACGGCTTACAGGGTTTATAGGTGTTTAGGGTTTGGGGCTTAAAGGGGTTAGGGGTTTGGGGTTTAGGCTCAAGCCTGTCCGGTTCTCCACGAGGGCTGAAGGTTTAGGGTTTCGAGCTGAATTAAGGGGTATGGTGGGAGAAAAGCTAAAAGATAGATTTCAAAATGGCTGCTTTATGGACAAGATTTCAAAAAAGCAACAAATTATGGTGCTCCCAAACCGGTTCTAGGACTCTAGGACCTCCCCGAGCCTCAACCGCAAACCCAGTTCTGGCTCACGAGGGTTTGGGGTTTATTGGGTTAGGGTTTAGGCTTCAGGGATTAGTGGGTTGAGGGTTTAGGCCGTCTTGGCGGCTTAGGGTTTAGGTTTAGGGTTTGGTTGGCCCCTTTAAAGCAGGAAGACACTCATTCTCCGACACGGAAAAGATCCTGTGGGCCAGAAGGGGCAAAGACTTGAAAGGGTTACCGGCAAGAGTTTAGGGTTTAGGGCTTAGGGTTCGGGGTTTAGGGGTTTAGCGCTTAGGGGCTTACGGTTTAGGGAATCAGAACTTCAAGAGGCGGCTGGGCCGGCCTTTGGTGAAGAGGCTGATCGCACAGTGGAGGCGGGTGTAGATGCCAAACTTGTCTCTCTTGGCCATGAAAAACCTCAATGGCTTCAGGACACAGGGTAACACATTTCGTTAAACTACAAGGTTCAATGAGGGCTTTCTACCGGGGGTAGGCCTGATTAGATGGGGGGTAGGGGTATACCAAAGGGTATGGTTAGACTGACTACCCCTCAACCCTAAACCCTGAAATATAACTTTTACGAACCATTGCGACACCTTTTTGAGAAGTTTCCGAAAATGGGGAACCTAATATAGTACCCTAAGTAGTCGGATCCTTATTATACGGACCCCCCAAAATAAGGTACACCGAATTCCCGGAAACTCCCATATTCAGGTGTGGGTAGCTAGAGACTTCTCCAGGCTGTGAAGCTTGAGAGTCTGAAACGTCTAGGGGTTTAGGGTTTAAGGCTTTTTTTTGGGGGGTTATGGTTTGGGGCTTACACCGTGACCATGATATCAGGTTCCTTAGCCGGTTCGGGGTATTAGGGTTCCCTACCCCCTCTGCCCTCTCACCCCCCAGGGTCCTTAATATCATAACTTAAAGCTGTCTCCTAGTAAAAGCCCTAACCGCTAAACTAAGGGCTTAGACTTAGGGGTGTTCGGCGTGTGGTTTGGCGCGGCAGCATATCGTCAGAGGCTAAAGCCAGAACCCCAAACCCTGTGGAGTTTCGGGTTTAGGGCCCCAAAGGCTCCAATATCCCTGAATCAAGGAAGATTCCTTAAATCATATTAGGGACCCTACTCTAATTTAAGGCATATATTCCTTAATTCAGAGATTTTGGAGTCTCTGCAATCTGGAGTTCATCCCGATGGAAGTTCGCCGTGACCCTACCAGTACCAAACCCAGGGGGCCTGAACTATCATTGTGCCGCAAATATGGGAGTTTCCAACAATTCCCGGGTACCCTTTTTTTTTTTGGGGGGGGGGGGGCCCTTATAATGAGGATCCTACTATTTAGGGTACCATATTAGAGTCCCCTCTTTTCGGAAACTCCCATATCTTTGGGAAGGGCCCTAGCCTATAGTAGACCTCAAATCTTGCGACAGCCAAGACAAGCCACTGCAACGGCGGCACCAGACTCAATACAAGCACTGCGTAGACACAACCTTGTCGAAGGAGTTGTGCGGATTAGGGTGTAAGAGTTTGGTGTTTTGGGCTTCCGGCGTGGGGTTGGGAGTGTGAGGATTTACTGGAAAGGCTCAACTTGGAGGTTCATGAGTATCTTTAAATGGGATATAAGTCCCCGAATCAGGGGTAGAAATAGTACTACTTATAACCCCACTTACAACTACCCATGAACCTCCAAGAAGCGATCTACAAGTTTCTTTCTAGGTGGAGGGTCTGACGTTTCAGGCTTCAGCGTTGGGGCTTAGGGTTAAAAGTTCTCGGTTGCCCTCTTGGCTTTAAGGATTTGGGATGGTTTAGGGGGCAGGATATGTCCGAAGCACTTTTCACTCTAGAAGAAGTGCAGGGACCGAAAGGCGCTAAACCTTGACCATGCGAATGGCGGCATGGTGCTCTTCAAGCAACATACTCTGAGCTCTGTACCAAGATCTTATGGTTGGCAGTTGTCCTGGTGCTATTGCGAGTATTTTGTCACGAAAACCAACAACTTTGCGATATGACGTCTTGGTCTGCATGTGTGTATATATGAGCTGATGACACAAACATACATATGTGTATATACATGTACATGTACTTGTTTATGCAGACCTATAAATATGTGTATGTGTATGTGCATGCATGCATGTCTGCATGTATCGTACACACGTACATGCATGCATACATACACACGTAAGTGCATGCAACAACCAGGTAAAATAATCCATATGTACATACACACACACATATATATATATACACACATGTATACATATGTGCACATAAAGCAAACATATGTGTGTACATATATATATATATATAGATGACATAAGCCACTTCTACACGAACCTTTACACACACTCGAGTTGTTTACGTTTGTTGGCGATGCTTCAACTTATAATTACCGAAATCCTGCAGCCGGGCGTCGCTCCACAAACAGTGCCAGGTCCTCGTGATAACACTGTTTCCCTAAACTCTAAAACCTGGGTTCGCTTGAAGTAGGAGCGACTTGAGTTTGGAAGGGCTTCAGTTTCAGGGGGGGCCCATGTTTTGTTCTAGGGTTTTGGAGCGTAGGGGTTCAGGGTTTCTTCATGACAAAGGACATGTCAGCTTCTCTCTACTAGCAAGGCAGGGCATTGCCAGAGACTCCGAGCACGAGTGTCTGCAGTAGCCTAGCTTGCTGGGTAGCCGTACGCAGTGAGGGTGATGTCTGGCCCTACAAGGACCTCTCCCGGCAAATCTACTCTTTCAAGACCTCGCAAAACCCTATCAAACCCGGTTGAACTCATCAAACCCGACTAAATCCTTCCTAGATCCCTTTCTGCCCTAGCCTTCTTGCTTTCGTCTGCGAGGCTGCTGAAGATCGCGATTATCAGCAGATGGAGCAACTGGCTCCTCGCTGAACAGTAGGTCTGTATACTATACGTGGTGTGTTCAGGTGAGGGTGCAGGGTGTTTCGACGTCCAGGTGCGGCTTGCTAGGTCTCCAGGGTTTAATTAGGAGTTAACGGCTAAGCATTTGTACGTCTTGCTTCCGGACGGGGTGATATGATGCTGACTGCTCTGATATTCGCACGGCTCTTCAGGATTTCTTCTGGGCTTTATGGGTTCAGGGCTTGGGGCTTTCGGCATTTACATAAACATAACGACATCGATATATATATATATATATATATATATATATCTACATATTTACACATACATATATGACCATCATATATATATATATGTATACATACATACATATACATATAGACATACAAATAGTACACATGTTTATAACAGTGACGCAGACTATCGGTTGCTTCTTCAAAAGTCTCAAAGCAAGTGCATCAGAGCGGCGCGAATTGAGCCATCTGCATTGCATAGATCGTACCTCCCAGATTTGGATGCCGAATGTAGGGGTACGGGCTTCGGGAAGGGTTCATGTTTTTTACGGACTACACAGGGATAATACTACTGAAATATGGGAGTTTCCGAAAATAGGGGACCCTAATTAATATAGTACCCTGAATAGTAGGATCTTTATTATAAGGACCCCAACATAAGGTACCCCTTATTTCGGAAACTCCCATATTACGACCCCAAAATTAGGTTTGCGAAAGTCACGGCTCGGGGGCCTCAGTGTTGCGATGTTGCTGTTGAGTAGCCCCTTACCGTTCAGCTGTAATTTCCAGACCACACCCACGGGTTGGGGTTTAGGGTTTTGCCCTCCCAAAGGGTCCAACATACCTGTATAGTAAAATGTAGGGTTTCCATATTAGGAACTACTATTATGATTTGGGGAAGTATCCCCCATAACAGTACCGAGGACCCTTTGGGCCTAAGCCCTCAATCCGACTCCCTAGATTCAGATCCTACGTTTGGGGATGTTTGGGGGTTAGGGTATAGGGATTTAGGGTTGAGGGTTTAGGGGTTACGGGGTATCGGGTCTAGGGGTTTAGGGTATAGTAAGATGCTTGCCAACATTTTGCCAAAACGCCGCCACGAAGGACACCTTCAGGTGAATGCAGCCTCCAACTCCATCTGACCCTCAATATCCACCGAAAGAGGAGATTTGGGTTTCAGATCCCTAAACCCTAAACCCCAGTGCCCCATAGCCCTACAAAGAGGCTACACCGTTAAGGAACATCTTCCCAGTAACAGCCCGGATCCCTTTCAGGGTCCCTGTAAGGCAAGAATAACTAAGTTTTCCCTTACGGTTCCTCTAAAGGGCTACTGCAAGGCTTACTATAAGGGTTCCTTCAAGCCCCTAAATCCCACACCCTACCCCAACTCCATATAACATACCCCTTGAAGGACTTATACAAAGAAACCGGAATAAGGAAGCCTAAACAAGGTAGGTATTTGGGGTCCAGATAAACCCTAGGAGAACGGGATCTCAAGATGCGTGGTCTGAACACTCTTTAAACTAGAATAGCGATGTTGCTTTATAGAGGGGCCTTACAAATTAGAATAGGGTTATGGGGACTACTATACTATGATTATGGGAAAGAACCCCCCCCAAAATTCTATTGGTAATTGTTTGGAGGGTCATGCGTAAAGATAGGTAGGGTCATAAGCCCCCTAATCGCACTTATAGTTAATATGGTTAGCCTACCTAAAACTCTACTTCTGAATGCTCATCAACCTCCAAGTAACTCTACAAAGCCATGTTCACTATACTAAACAAACTGTACCACTCTATTAGGGCCCCAAAATAAGCAAAAATTAGGACAGAGATATCCCATATAAAGCCCCTTATAATCAAGCCCATTAAGGTAGGGATATCACTATAAAATGCTTATGCCTACGTGCTTTTTTGGCCCCTAATCTATGGATCTCAGGTCCCCGTAAGGAATCCTAAAACGGGGTACATAAGTAGTTATCTGAGTTAGGGTCTCTTTCTAAGTCAATACGGCACCCATCTAAAAAGGACCCGACACGGGAGCCTAATTTAGAGAACAGCCCATATGGGTAGTTGTCAAAATGAGGGTCCCTTTTTGGGTCCTTATTATAATACGGCACCTAATATTCAGGGTACCCAAAAAAGGAATTACAATGTTGACAGCTACTCATATATCATCATCAAGGTACACAGGCATTTCACGGTGAACATCTCGATCACGGACTCCTGCGCGCGGAATCCTCAGAGCGGTCTGCCCACACCAGGGGTTTAGGGGTTTAGGGTTCAGCAGCTCTGAGGCAAACTATTTCTTGTCAAGTTATCCTCAAGAAGAAACCCCGCCCGCCCAGAGAATCCCCTCACATTAGGATTATAGGTTATATTTCTTTCAGCTTGAATTTGATAAACACTCTTTTACATACTACAAAACACATTTAACTATGGTTTTAACTATTCGTATGAAGTAAGCACTGGACAAGCATTAGACAATTATTCACCTCCACATTGATGCTAATGCTTGGCAGGATGTATCACATAGTTCAGACAGAAACTACATAACAGACATCTTCCACACACCTTCCAAGGTCAGTACAATTGAAGCCAATAGTAGACAACTGTCGGCTACTTGTCGCACTGATTCTTGCTCCATAGAATCCCTCACATTAGGAATAACGATTCTACTTGTTTCAACTTGAACTCAACACACAAGCTTTTACATTCCTTGGCACGAGCTAAACCTTCAACTCTCTGTCTTACAAAGCGGAGCGCGGTTGAACCGAAAGCTTGTTAGATTCAGTTCTAGGTCTTGCGAAAGGGGTGGGGTTGAACTTGTTGACTTCAACTCTCTGTCTCATAAAACGGAGCGTGGTTGAACCGAAAACTTGTTAGATTCAGTTCTCTGTCTTGCCAAACGTTGATGGCCGGTTTTTGTCTTCGCAAGTGTTTGTGGTCAGGTTTTTGTCTTGGCAAATGCCCTGCCCTGCCCTTGCCTGACGTGACCAAAGCATTGCCTGGAATGGAGGGTCGGACGGGTGGGGAGCGGGGTGGGGGGGGGGGTCCCTGGAGGTGGCGGGGGAGTGGGCTGGGGGATGGGGATGGGGGGGGCGAAGGGGAGGGCATCAATTCGCCACGAGTTTTGATCAATCGCCACGAGTTTTGATCAAGTCGCCACGAGTTTTGATCAAGTCGCCACGAGTTTTGATCAATCGCCACGAGTTTTGATCAATCGCATTCGCCACGAGTTTTGATCAAGTCGCCACGAGTTTTGATCAAGTCGCCACGAGTTGTGATCAATCGCCACGAGTTTTGATCAATCGCCACGAGTTTTGATCAGTTCGCCACGAGTTTTGATCAGTTTGCCACGAGTTTTGATCAGTTCGCCAGGGATTTTGATCAATCGCCACGAGTTTTGATCAATTCGCCACGAGTTTTGATCAATTCGCCACGAGTTTTGATCAATCGCCACGAAGACTATAGGGTCACAAAATAACATACATAGGTATATATGTTTTGGGTTTTGGGGTTTTGGGTTTAGGGGTTTCGGGTTTAAGAGTTCCGGGTTTAGGGGCTTAGGGTTTACTCCGGGTTTAAGAGTTTAAGCGGAACAAAAGGGCTTGAGAATTCAGCATGGAAGAATTTATAAGGCTTTAGGGTTTTGGGCGTAAGGGTTCGGGGCTTGGGGCTTCAGGGTTAAGGGTTTAAGGGATGGGTTATAATTTAGGATTCCTGTCCTTCAAGCGGCTGCAGGGGGGTTCGACAACGGTTTACAAGGAGCCCAGAGAATGATGCTAGAAATTACGTTCGGCCGCTACGGTACCTAAAGCCACAATCCTAAAATCCGACAGCCTTTCAACTCGCACCCTTCGGCTTCGTGGGGGCGAACCTGGGATTCTAGCTAAGGAGTTCAGTTTAAAGTTACCTGCATACGGATCTATAGCAGATTTTGATATGGCTTCTGTACTAAATCCCGTAACCCAATACCTGCCTAGGATTGGGGAGTTAGCAAGTTCCGCGTGCGGGTATAGGTACGACAACTACCATCATGAGGGCTGAGTTCAGCATGGCATACAATAGCATAGGGGCCTTACTAGTTTGAATAGGATTGTGGGGCCCAGTATACTGCAACTATCATAAGGAACCCCCACAACAGATTGGTAAATATTTAAGGCCCCTATACTACGCCCTTATAGTGCCCTTATAGTACCCCTTAAAGGAACCCTTTTTAAAGGAACCCCGTATGGTACATGAGTCCCATGAGCTTTCGATCTTCGAACCTACTTGGAGGTTCACCGGTAGTTATGAATGGGGTTATAAGTCCCCGAGTAGGGGTTACAACTATAGTTACCCTACTTAACCCCACTTATAACTAACCATGAATCTCCAAGTACACCGTAACGCGCCGAATAGGGCCTTGCACCCAGACAAAACCATAAAAGCAACATATCCTACTAGCAAACGCTGCGGGGATCTTTTTAACACCTGTCTGAGACCCTAAACCCAACCCAAGGGTCTATGTAATTTGGCTACTTGCACCCTTACTTGGAGGGTTACCCTATTTATACCTCCACTTACAACTACTCATGAACCTCCAAGTAACCATACTGAAAGCTTTAAATGGGAGTTTCCGAAAATGGGGGGCCATAATGTAGTACCCTAAATAATAGGATCCTGTTTGGAAGGACCCCAAAATAAGGTACCCCGAATCTTAAAAATCTCCCAAACAAAGGCCAAAAGTCTGATGTGCTCGCGTTCTCGCAGCGCCGTGCTTAGCGCTTGCAGCCCTGCAATGAAGTGTAGGTGGGCCCTCCTGAGCTTAGGGTGGAGGGTTGAGGGTGGAGGGTTGAGGGTACAGGGGTTTGGGGTTTAGGGTGGGGGGTTGAGGGTATACGGTTCAGGATGTAGGGGTTTAGGGGTTTGGGGTTTAGGGTCGGGGGTCTAGCGTGTACGGTTTAGGGATGAGGGTGTAAGGCTGCGGGTTTAGAATACACCAGGGCCGATAGGTGCCGAATAGAAACAAAACATATAGTTTGTCGCGACTCACATACCTGCATACCTGGTTTCCATGTTGCACACCTATAAGAGGTTTCAAGTGTCAAGCTGGTTTAGAAGCTCGTGCATTTAGTCAGGATAGGGGGTCTCAACATGTTGGGGTCCTTCTCCACGCTCCTTGGAGTCAGAGTTGGGATGGATTCTAGTCCTTAGGTCGATTATAGAAGAGCTTGGCTTTTGGTGTTCAACTACAGCATACCTCATGAGCACATATGCGGAAATTCCAAGTGAATGCCCGTGCGAAAAGCACAAGGCGGGGCGACTTCACACAAGTGTTTGTTTTGGCTCAGGTTCCCAGAAGGATGTATGTTTTAAAAGGCTCAGTGAGTTAATAATTAAGCTAAGCTGCAGCAAACTACCTCCAGCACAACACCAGAAGCCAAATTAAGAAGCATCCCAACATGCCACGTTAAAACTGTAACATAACATTAAATAAAAAGAAACTCAGGAACAGCAGGTGTGAATAACATCCCATATATCACTCACCCACATTCCTCAGCAGCCCTTTACACACCTGAAAGAACTTTTGCACTCAAGCCCGGGAGGGTTCTGGCTTGTCGTTTACAAACATTGCAACCTGCAACCCCCCCCCCCAAGACACCAACCCCTAAGGCTATAATAAAGGGGCCTTAGTGATTGGAATAGGGTTCCCCGAAAGGGCTCCTCTGAAAGGGTCTATATGGGTTACTACGAGGGTTCTATGGTATAGGGGCCTCAAAATAAGAATAGGGTTTTGGGACCCGTGACACTATACTTATAGTAAGGACCCCCCAAAAGAAAAAAAACACAGGTACTTTTATTAAGGCCGCCATAGATAACGCGCACAATATGACAGGGATCCCAGGTCTAGAAGCCAAAGGCAATGGTCAGGTTCCAGCCATATGCCACCAATTTCGGTGAGATGGGCCGGGAGGTTGACAGGAAGGCGGCCACACGTGGGCCCCGCCTTCGGTTGTCCTGGTGGGAGGACTCGGCCTCGCTTTGGGACCTCTCGTAGTACACTTCGCGGTCTTGACAGTACGCCCAGATTGGGAACTTGTTGTGCAAGTTCTGCTCCGCGCTCAAAACGTTGAAGTCGCTGTGACTGCAGTTTGACAGCGCGGGCGCGGGCGGTTTAGGGTTTAGGGGTTTAGGGCTTGAAGGGTTTAGGGGTTTAGTGTTTAGGGTCCACTACATGCTACGGAGATCACGCTTATGTAGCTCCAGTGCAGGAGAACTTGAGAATTCGCAGCCAATCGTCAACAAGTTCAGATTTGTCTGATACTCACTTTCGTCTGATGCAGAACATCTCATCAAAAGATCAGCCACATTGACACTGGGAAAGCAACATGATCTCAAGCAACTTGAATCCCTAAAGCCCCGCAGCCCTGGAACCCTAAACCTAATAATTACCCTGCAGCCCCTATACACCCTAAGCCCTGGACCCTGAACCCGAAAGCCACAATCACAAACGGCCCACCACTCACGGGCAGTAATTGCGGGCAGGCAGCACCACACCCTGCGTCTTTTTCAGCACCTGTAGGGTGCGCACAGTCCGCTGCCTTTTTGGCGGGTCCTAGATTTCCCTTTGACCTCAAAATCTCCAAAACCGAAATCCCTAAGTCATGAGTCCTCCAGCCTCCCAAGCTAGAGCCCTAAACCCTGAACCCTAGACCCTAAATCCTAAACTCAAAATCCCAAACCCCAAACCCTAAATGAACCCGAAATCCCCGCCCAAAGGACCGAAACCTATCGCCGTATCGCCTGACGCCAGGCCAAAGGCCCTGCTAAGGTTTCAAGGCTAGAGTTCAGGGTTTAGGGCTTAGGGTTCAGGGTTCAGGGTTTATAGGGTTCAGGTTTTAGGGTTTAGGGTTCATTGTTTAGGGTTCTGGGTTCAGGGTTCAGGGTTTTGGGGCTTAGGGTTTAGGTTTCAAGGCTTGGGTTCAGGACCCTAAACCAGGTATCAAGGGCTCTTCTGGGCTGTGGAAACCTCAAGCTTGAACCCAAGCTCCGAAACTCCGAAACCCTGAAATCCCAACCCTAAACCCTAAACCCTAAACCCTTCCACCAACCGCCAACCCTCGAACTTGCCTGATGGTGAAGATCGACAAGAACGTCGTCGGAATCATCTTCCGTAGATGCCAAGGTGTCTTGAATCTCCTCCTTCGGGGCGGCATTACGAGTATAGGGGGAGTAGTAGTATTGGTAGTCGTCGTCGTATAACGGGTAGTAGAAGCAGCAGTAGCAGTAGCAGCAGTAGTAGCAGCAGTAGTAGCAGCAGTAGCAGCAGTAGTAGTAGTAGTAGTAGTAGTAGTAGTAGTAGCAGTAGCAGTAGTAGTAGTAGTAGTAGTAGTAGTAGTAGTAGTAGTAGTAGTAGTAGTAGTAGTAGTAGTAGTAGTAGTAGTAGTAGTAGTAGTAGTAGTATTTAGGCACCTATACTGACGCCAATGCCCCAAGCAAGAACCTAATCCCGCAGAAGTCAAGGCAAGACTCTGGATCTGCGCCGCCGAGCTTCTTCACCTGCGCCGGGAACCAGTCCAAGAAACCCCTCAAGGGATGTATACTATAGGGCTTCCTTTGAGGGATACCTTAAAGGTTCCTTTAAGGGTTCCTTATGGGGCCCTTAAGGGTACTTCAGGGGTTCCTTTTAAGGGCTCTTTCAGAATTACCAGCTTGGTTGCCCCAATCACCTAAGGGTTTGGGCTGTCGGCGGTTCAGGGGGTTTGGGTGTAAGGTCTAGGACTCGTGTCTAGGGATAAGGTGCAGGGGTTTAGCGTGTGGGGTGGTGGGTACAATAAGTGAATTTAGGCTGGTCAACAGGCATCATAAGAAGAGGACCGAAATTAAGAGTCCAAATACGAACGAAGGGTAGCTCAATCAGGCTTCAGCATGAGACTTCATTGCATGTCCATTTCCCAGATTTAGACGTGAGCGGTTCTATGAAAGTCGCAGCGCATGATGATATCGGGTTCGGGTTTAGGGTGCAGGGGTTAGGGTTTAGGGCATAAATCCCCCAAGTCTAGACCCTACAACAATCTGGATCTAGCCAAACCCCCAACCCCTCTCAGAAAAGTCTACAAGAACCCCCAACTGCTCTCGAACAGTAAACTTGGATTGAACTTAAAGCTCACACCTCAAGACAGAGCTCTGCAAAGCCGAGTCAAGCCCTGTGAAGCGATCGCAATGTAGACCCTCAAACTGTCGGGTCCTTACTATGCGGACCTGGAATATAATAAGGAACCCTTGGGAAAGTCTCCCCTTGCAATGGGAACCCTCTTCAAGAGCCTGTATAGCATCCTCTGTAGGGCCCTAAGTCTTAAACCCACCATGGAACCCAACGACATCATCAAAGCAGCCCTTATAGGAACCCTTAACTAAAGAAATCCTTTACGGCAACACTTTCAGGAACCCTTGTAATTAGAAACCTTAAGGTAACCCTTAAAGGAACTCTCATTGGGAGAGAGTAACCCTTGCATTTTGAAACCTTACAGTAGCCCTCAAAGGGACTCTTGTTAAAGGAGCCTGCTCCAGTTGGGCAGTGGTCGTCGAGCGAGCTTCCAGAACGAGCTTTCGACTCGACTCCGTTTCAACAAGCTCGGGATTCTCCGAACGGACCATTGCGACAGTATGTGCTTTGCTTGTTTGTTTGTTGTGTTCTTTGATTTGCTGCCTTCTGTTTACGGTTTTCCCTTTTTGGGGGTTCAGGTTCCCGTAAAAGCCCCTGTAAAGCAAAACGGGCACCTTTTTTATTGTTTGTGTGATTGATCTTTGTCTGTTCATTCTTCGTGCTCATTCCTCGCGGCGGTAATTAGAAGTGCAGGCTTCCAGGTTGGGGTTGAGGGCTTGAGGGGTCAGATGCGTGCTTTGGGGCGCTCTTCTTCGTTAGGTTTGGCCCCAAAAAGGGTAAGATTTAACTAGCAGAGGGAACAAACTGGTTTAGGGCTCAGGGCTTGATATTTACAGCTTAGGGCAGAATCTAGCAAACCCCAAACTACCACCCTCACCCTGTCGTGTCAGCGGCCTTAAAGCTTGAGCCGGAGGAGAGGCACGGGCTGTAACATAGGGTCTTCCATAGGGTTCCGTTAAGGGTTCCCTGAAGGGATCCATATGGGTAGTTGTCAAAATTAGGGTCCTTGTTTGGGTATCCTAAATTGGCCCTAAATATTAGGTGCCGTATTATATTCAGGACCCAAAAAGGGACCCTAATTTTGACAACCACCCATATGCGGGCCTGAAAAATTTACCAATCCTACGGCAGCTACGAAGTCTTTGCGCATCCAGGGTTTAGGGATTTGTGCTTACACTGCAAGCCCGCCTTTCCGACCCCAAAACCCGAAGCCGTTCTCAACCCAAGGTGGCCCGAGGGGCCTTACCTGTAGCTCCAAACCCTACATACTGTTGATGATAGAAATCCTGCATTACCTTAAGGACCTTAAACTATGGGAATTATGGTATATTCCTTATTATAGTGCAGGATTTATACTATCAACCGTAGTAGTAGGCTATAACCCTCGAAACAGTAGGTTCTTGGATGCCCAGGTGAAACCCTTCAAACTCCCAAGTCTTGAATGCACTTGCCAACTCTGAAACGAAGCCCCAACGAATCTAACCTCCAAAGCCGAGTTCGAAAATCATGTATGGAGAACACCACTCAAAGACCTTAAACAGCAGGAAGCGCATAAACTGGAACTCTTGACGGAAGCATCTAAGCCCCTGTGCTAAGTATCGGTTTCAACCCACAGAAAGAAAAGCAAAACTTCTGTGGTTAGGGTTCTAAATGGCCACTTTTCTATCCCACGCCCCGAAAACTAGAGTGTCGTTGGGGATCAAGGATGCCGGTGTTTGGTTCTTATAGGGTTTGGGGTTTCATACAGGTTCTATCAAGGGCTCTAGTCACTAATCGATTTGGTTCTAGATGGGTGTTCTCTAAGTTAGGGTCCCCGTTTAGGTCCCTATTGCACGGCACCTATATTAAAAGAAGACCCTCAAAGGGATCCTAATGTAGAGAACTACTCATATGCCTTCTGTAAGGGTTCTCTGAAGGTCCTTCAAGGGTATGCGGGCTTTCGGGATTTGGTGGTTTAAGGCGAAAGCCCTTTCAGAATAAGTCCATATTGCGGGATCTCCGTGTGGTTCTTTCGACAGAATCCGCTAGAATCGGCCGAAACACTCATGTTTCACCCTGTCCCCTAACGCCACAACCCCCACAAACCATGGTCAAACTCAGCCAACCAAAAACGTGCACTTCAGGCAACGATGCACGCTTACGCTGTGATCATGCAAATTCGTGGCATTTGGTGCTTTGGGTGTAGAGTTTTGGGCTTGAGGTTAGGTTTAGGGTATGGGTGAGTACCTTATCAGCCCTAACAAAAGGGTTTAGGGGTCAAAGGTTTGGGGTCGAGCCAACCCTAGGCTGTCTACCTGCTATAGTAACCGCTTCCCGTCGCCCTGAAGACCTTCAAACGCCTCAAGAGCTCCAGCTTGAAGGAGAGTAGGGATTTGAAGGGGTTTGAAGGTTAATTACCCTATAGGTTGACTGTACTTATTCCTAGTTGCTGAGTTCATAAGCCACAAAAAGTGTACACCTTTTGTTTTATAGTGGCCAAAAAGTGAAAAAGTGTATCCACTCAGCTACTAAGCCTCAAAGGGTTTGCGCTTAGAATGCATAGACTTTGGCGGGTCGTGGAACCTAGCAAGCAGGGAGAAGGGTTGTGCAGACATGAACTGGGATCACCACATGTGTCACCATACTGTTGATGATAAAAATACTGCATTAACTTACGGGCTTAAGGACCCAAAACCATGGGAATTATGGTATATTCAAGCATCTTTATTATCGGTGACTTGCGATCTATAAGGCCCCTACATTAGTTGTGTGACGCTCAGGTAGCATCCCCACCCTTCACAGATCCCACAAACCATGAGCCCGCAACACCAGTACAAAGCCCTGTGCAACCCCAAAAGGAACCTAAACCAGCCAGGTTACTAAGTTCTTTAAGAATGGCTTGGTGATCTACCTTTTGTTGTGAGTGTGATCCTTCTCGGTACTGGCATTGTTAGATTGAAAATTACTATTAAACTCACGATTATCACATTTTCTGTGTATTACTAGTATTATTGTTGCGAATACCCTAAAACCTAAACCCTAAAGACCGGGAGCCTCGAGGTGAATCACCAAGTTCGCCCCGACATTTTGGATTCGGGCCCTGGCAATCTAAGATTCCTTAAAGGAGAGAGTTTAGGGTTTGGGGTTGATAGGGGTTTCTAAGGATTTCAACAAATTTATAGGGGCTTAAAGGGGTCTAAGGGAGTCCCAGGGGAGGTTTAGGTTTAGGGGAGTCCGGGGGGGCCCTAGTAATCCCCAATTCCTTTTAGTCCTCCCTTGAGGATCCTATAATGGAGGCCCGCCTTAATAATTAGAAGGGGGTTTTGGGCTCCTTTGCAGCAAAAGTAAAATGAGAAACCTTTGGGAATCATTTGGGTAGTTGTCGAAATTATGGTTCCTTTTTTGGGTACCCTAAATATTAGGTGCCGTAGTATAATAAGGACCCAAAAAAGGGACCCTAAGAGTGACAAGCACCCATTTTGGAAAGTATTCAGGCTTCTACATCAGTGGCAATGCGCTGCTGCGAGGAATCGTTGCCATTTTCTTCCCGCGCGTCCACTTGCTTGCCGCAACATAAAGGTGAGAACAAGAAAGTTTGCTAAACGTAATAAATGCGTAAATATACATCTAGTACATATGTACATATATATATATGTACATATTATATGTATATCAACAGACAGGTTTATAGCGATACGCACACGTCTGTACGAGGTGTTTGTAAATGTGTATGTCTGGATATATTTGAAGATGCACATGCACACATAATACAGACAAACGGTTGGACCGGACTGAGCGAGGTCGCTGCTTGCGAATGGGAATACTCGATACAATGTTTGCGTGTGCGTTTGCGCACAGAAATACCTACATAATCTATGTGTTTGTCTTTGTCTCTCTATCTGTACATATGTAGCATCCTACGCACCGGGTCGTTAAATCCTGAGGATAAAGAGCCCTAAGGAATCTTTTGGCAAATAATCCGGCTCTATACCCCAAGCCGTAAAAGCCTAGTAGCTCCCTTATCGGAACTCTTAACGGATCTATAAGGGTCTCCCATGAGTCCCTTTTAAGGAGCCCCTTGCAGGAATCCCAAAAGGCTGCGATAGCAACCCGCCCATCTTACCTGTGGTTAGTAGGGAATGGAAGAATGGTAGTAATTGTAGCTGTAATTGTACCCCATTCCTCCATTCCCTACGGTAAGCAATTTGAGCCGAGGCGCGACTGTTGATTGTTGGGGATGTCGTCCTTTCAATCAGACAGCTTAGGCCCTGAACCCCTAAACCCTAAACCCCCCCTTAACCCTAAACCCCTGAACCAAAGACCGTCTAGGGATCAGGACTTCACTTCAGGGCTTGAGGGATCTTCCGCTTCAAGGTGTAGGGTTTAGGGGTGTTTGGGTCTAGGGTGCATCTTCCTGGGTTCTGCAGTAACACAAAAAAGGTTTGAGTTTTGGGTTGGGGGGATGGGGTTTACCAGTTGACCTTGAAGGAGCTATTTGTTGGATCTTGACTTCTTTCGGAAGTATGGGGTCTTGTAGGCTTTGTGTAACGCACCGGGCCACTTAGCTGCTGAGTATGCTCTAACTATAACCAGTGGCTGCCCAGACCAGACTGGGATTGCTGTATCAGGCTCCCTCAACCTGCTACTTCCCTCCGGCGGCGTTTCAGGCAGCATTTCGGGTTGAGGACTTCGAGTTCCGGATCATGAGTCATGAGGATTCGGCACAGCTTCAGGTTTAGGGTTTAGTTTGAGACTGTAAGGTGTCATGCCTTTCATATGTTATTTCGCAATACCTGCATTGACAGAGCCACAAAGCTTGCGCTTTCAGAGTCCTGCGATTAGTACGAGTAAGATGGCCTAAATGCTACAGAAACCAGTCGGAGTCCACTTAACGCGTATAACCGTATAACCCCATGCCAACTCCACTGAAACAGATGAAAATCAATCCGGACTCAGCCAAAAGCCTAAAACATAAACTCTGAGGTCCAAGCCTTGCATAAGCCCTCAACACTAACCCAATGCCCTAAACCCTATAAACCCTAAGCCCGGAACCCGAATCCCTCAGCCCTGAGCCCAAGTCTTAAACCCTAAGCCATCTAAGTCCTAAACCCTGAACCCTAAACCCTGAGCCCCAAGCCCACCCCCCTCAACCCTGAACCCTAGCCCTAATTAAGCTTAAAACCCTCAACCTAAACCCTGATCCCTAAGCTTAAAGCCTGAACCTGAAACCACCCTACTTGGAGGCTCATGGGTAGTTATAAGTAGGGTAATAAGTCCCCTAATAGGACTTATAACTATAGTTACGCTACTTATAACCCGACTTATAACTACCCATGAACCTCCAAGTAGTCCGTGCTCCCAAAGCGCGTTTCCTGTGCATCAATCACGTCGCTCAAAGCGAGGCCGGCGGCTTCCAAAGCTTCCTGGCCACGAGAGGATGCTTTAACCCCTTGAAGGGGCGGGCCCTTGAAGGGATCCTTTCAGGGTTCCTTTAAGGGATACTTTAAGGGCTCCCTTACGGAATCCATTGAGGACTTAAGGCTTAGGGTTAAGGGCTTTGGGGGCCTAGGGTTCACGGCTTTGGGGGTTGGGGTTGAGGGTTACTTTCAAGGTCAGGTTTGAGGGCTTTGGAGATCAGGGTTTAGGGTTGAGGGTTTAGGGATGAGGGGCGTTGAGTCCGAACCCTATCAGAGACCCAAACCTTACAAAGCCCTCAGCATGAAGCCCCAAAATTCGACCGGTTCGTGTTCAGGGCGTAGAGCTTATAAAGCCAAGATATCAGGGTCTTGGTTTACGAGAGCTCTAACGGATAGTTCAGGTGCTCAGCGTGCGTACGACTTCGACAGCGGCTGCGAATCTAGAAAGCCCTAACCCCTCCACCCTGATAAATGCGCAACCACCCTACACTCTTTACAATCCAAATTGCAAGTTGACATCCGGCAAAGCACTTGCGGGGCTAATGCGAACAATAACATACTAATCCCAGAAAGAAGAAGACGAAGAAGAAGCAAGTCCCAAAGCAAGGTCCAGAACCACCGAACCCTAAACATGGTAATAAACCCATAAACCTTGAAAGCCTGGAACCCGTAAGCAGCTAACAACCCACACCGCAGGTCGTGATCCGACAGCTTGTCCTTGACGGAGAGGGACAAGACCTGCGCAATCACAGAACCCGGAAGGTTTACCACAAGGGCTCTCCTGTGAAGGTTCTAATTACAGGGCAAGGGCATTCTTTGCGGCTTCGGCTAGAAGGGTTTTCGGGTTTACGGCTTTGGAGCGCAGGGTTTTGGCCCCTTCTATCGAAGCCACAGGAACCTGATACTTGCAAAACTCTACAATAGGGGCCTTAATAATTAGAATAGGGGTTTGGGGCCAACTATACTATAAATATAATCAGGAACCTACAAAAACAGGATAAGTAAAACTTGAGGCCCCGATGGTAATCCATGTCCCAGACTGACCTTGACCTGGCCCTGAGCCCTAAACTCTGTAACCCTTATCTGTAGGGCCGCAGGGTGTAAGGGTTTAGTCTTTAGGGCTGCAGGCCTTTTTGTAAAGGTTCATTGTTTTATGTAGCCCAGACGAACTAGAAATCCAGAGTCCGCAGCAAGAAATGGACCAAGCCGAGGAAGACTTGCCCTCGCGGTGAATATCCCCTAAAAGCGCCCTAAACCTTAAACCCCTAAACTCTAAACTCCCTAAAACCCTAAACCCTAAACCCCTAGACCCTAAACCCTGAGCCCTAAACACGTAAATCCTAAACCCCTAAACCCTAAACCCGAAGGATGCCTTTAAGGTTTCCTTTTCCTTAAGGGCTCCTAGCAAGCACAAGGATCAGCCCTCTCTGGGAAGAAGGGCCGTAGTAGGGTTGGGCCTTTGTTGAGACATTCATCCCAGAGGGTCCCTATATACTACCATTATGGAACTAGGCCCCAAAACCATAATGGGGATTGCCTTTTGGGACCGATTTCCATACTGGTAGTACGTATGGATCCTCTGGGAATATAGGGGCCTTACAATACTTAGAACAGGGTTCCCTTAAAGGGCTCCTTGTAGAGCGGGTCTATACGGGTTACTATCTATGAGGGTTCTATGATACGGGGGCCTTAACATTGAACTGTTCAAAAACATCGTGAAGCCCGTATACAAGGGGATATGAGTGCTATAAATTGGCCAATATCCTTCGAAAGCCTACATGATACTCTCAACACAGTTACACCCTTCTAAGCCCCCTAAACCATCCATAGACCCGAATCCCTGAAAAGAACTCTTTTAAAGGGAAACCCTTCGCTGTCTTCTTCAAAGAGAAACGAAACGCCTGTCCAGCAGCGAACTCCTTGTAGGTCCCTCCATCCGCGTTCTTCACGACCTGAAGCTCGGGCGTTTCAGGCTCGGGGCCTATGGTTCAAGGCTTGGGGCAGGTGCTTAAAGCGTTCGTGGTCAGGGTTGAGGATCAAGCCCTAAAATCTACAACCTAAACTCCTAGCCTCAAAGGGTTGGGGCCTTCCGGGTCAGTCCTATGGCTCATGTCCTTACACATGCCTCCCAAAACCCTGTACCCAGGATCGACCCTTTTGAAACCCTAACCCGGCAAGTCCCAAGGTCGCTAGACCCTCCTCTTCCCAAATTTCTACAGTTGCTGGCTCTTCACTGTCGAAACCACGCTGTCTTTAGCCCTGGAAGCTGGATTCCGAGAGAGAAAGAGAGAGTCTCACCTTCACAACTGATAGGTCCCCTGAAGATCCTTTCAGAAAGAACCCTTATGAACCCCCTAAGAATCCCAAAACGGAGCCCTTATGGATCCCCTGGACATCAATTGAAAAGGAACGCTTTCAAAACCCCTTGTTAGGACCCTTTAACAAGGAGCCCTTGAAGAAACCGTTATAAAGGGCCCTTTGAGAACAACAAACGCTATAACAACACTTTATAAGGACCCTTTAAAACGGAACGCTTTAGCAATCCCTTTTCAGGACCCTTTAAAACGGAACGCGTTAACAATCCCTCATAAGGACCCCTTAAAAAATATTCAAAAGGAGCCCTTTACGACGCTATAGATGCCCTAAAGAAACCTTAAAGGAACCCCTATAGATCCCCTAGAGATCCTTCAAAAAGGAGCCGTTTACGATGCCATAAATGCCCTAAACTTAAAAGGAACCCCTATAGATCCCCTACTAGAGATCCTTCACAAAGGAGCCCTTTACGACGCCATCCTCTGCCGGAGCCCCCCCGCCGTCGTCATGCCGGCGACGTCCGCCAAGGCGCCGTCTGGCGCCTCGACCTGGTACCTTAGAAGCAAAGAAAGGGGGTTAAGGGTTTCGGGTTTAGGGGTTTTAGGAAGTTTAGGGTTTAGGAATCAGGGTTTAGGGTTTAGGAGTTAGGGTTTAGGAATCAGGGTTTAGGGTTTAGGAATTAGGGTTTAGGAATGAGGGTTCAGGGTTTAGGAAGTAGGGTTTAGGAATCAGGGTTTAGGGACTAGGAATTAGGGTTTAGGAATCAGGGTTTAGGGCGTTTAGGGTTTAGGAATTACAGGGTTTAGGAATCAGGGTTTAGGGTTTAGGGCACCTGGTATCGCAAAAGAAAAGGATTCAGCCTTTGGGGAATCAGGATGCGGGTGACCGGTTGGCCCTGCGCTCGTAAGGAGCTAGCGAAATCAAATGCAAGCGCCAAGATCCCCAAACCCCTGAACCACTGAACCCCTGAAAACCGCACATCTAAAAGCCTGATGGAACAGAAGCCACCACGAGGTGGACGGCAGGTAATCCACAACCAGACCCCCCCCCCCAATTGGTAGTGTTCTACATTAGGGTACCGTTTAAGATGTTGCTCTTTATTTTAAGGGTGCCATGCTTCTGGGGGGACTCAAAGGCAGAGCCCAGTTTAGCGAACTACCCACGTGTTCCAGCCGATAGCTGCAAGTCAAGACTATAATAGAGCAGCCTTTCTGTTAGCACTTTGGAGTTATCTTAGAACATACTCATAGCATGGAAACCCTAAGGAACCCTGTTCGAATCATGATGGCTCCTACATAGTCTACCAGTGCAGAGATGTTATGGGCTTCATAAACTCCTGCATGCAAAAGCCGTCTAGACGACCCCTTGTGCAAGGCCCGTCCTTCGATGAACGAATTTCGGAAACCCTGAGAACCCCTCCCAAACGAAGCCTGAACTCTTGCACGGCAAGAGTAAATTCAAAAGCCTGGCTCAAGACAAGCTTGAAACACCCGAAGCTCAAACCTTCGCGCCTGTAGTCTCGGAACCCCAAGCCGTAAAACTTGAAGCCCCCTTTGCCCGCAACCTTTCTCCCCCAATGCGCCAGAGCACTCCAGCGTGAATTTCGCATGGAGCGCCTGTCAAAGTGCTGAGTTGGGGGCACTGCAACAAGTAGACTAGTAGGAGGGTCGGCCGAAATAATACTTTTTGGAGGTTTCTCGTTATCAATATACTATAATGGGCCCCAAAACCTTATTCTAATCATAAAGGCCCCTGTATCATAGAATCCTCATGGTACCTTTTTTCAAGGAACCCTTGAAGGGAACCCTATTCTAATTACTATAAGGCCCCTATACTGTAGCCTTGGGGCGCCAAGGGTTGGGCTGTTCGGGTTCACGGGTGCGGGCTGTGGTGCTCAGGTGCTCAGTGCAGAGGCTTGCGGGGCATACGCTTCATTTGCGCATGGTACTGTTTAGCGGAAGAAGAGCAACGAATTGAGACTAAGCCCTATGAAACCCTCCCAAGTGTAAGTACGAGTCATGTGAAACGCTGGCCAAACCCCAGAAGTGTAGATACCAAGCCCGATGAGATCTTTACGAAACCCTCTAAGCTCTTCTGTTCCTTTTCAGGGTTGAAGACTTTCAGGCGTCGAGCCAGGCCCTGTAAGGCTTAAGCTACAGACTTTAGGCCTTCGGCTAAGCTGTCTGGTTCTTAGTAGGGAATGGGGGAATGGATTATGGAGACTATTATTGGAAAATATAAATATAGGGACTACTATAGGGATCGATTCCCCCATTCCCTACTAAGGACCAGACAGTAGGCTTCAGGATGTAGTACTGGCGAGTACTGTACGGCTCACAGCAGACATTCCTGCTCTGTGTCATCGTTCGCTTTATCTCCAAATCGGGTGGGGCTACAGTTACATGGGGTTCACCCGGGATCGGCATTGAATGGTCTTTGCCGAACTCTGGGACAAGCTTGCGAGGGCGTTTATTCTTGAACGTATGTCCACATACAACAATTCAACAACGTCAAGCCGCCCAACCAGAATGGCATGTCAGAACCAGCATCACCATCACTGTCGTCATCACTGTCATCATCACCACCACCGCCATCCTACTATCAACACAGTCAATACCAGCATCACCGTAATCACCATCGGCACCATCATGAACCAGCATCATCACCATCATCATCATCACAAACGCCTTCCATGTGCAAAAGAGTTGTCGTCATCAGCAGCACCAAGATTAGATAATCATCCACGTGCGAAGCTTGGGTCAGTTTGCATCGCAGCCTCTCCGCTGGCTCCGGAATCGACTCGGCAAAAGCCGATGCGTCTCAAGAGACCAACATAATTGAAAGTCAGCAGACGACTAAACTATACGTTCATGTACACCGTGGCTGTCAACCACCCCTCCCTTATAAACGTTGAGCTTTGGGTTTCCATCCTCCAACCTAAGGGCCTGCATACGCTGACTAGGGTTGTTGCGCACGATGGGGCAGTATCATAATCATGAACCTTAGCGAATAATGCTGGGAAGTGTCAAGCAAGTATGTAGTATCATTCTTCTGGAGTAATGCTGCACCAAGGTTGACGGTTTCACGGTGCCTCAGTTTCGGCACGTCTGGTTTCAACTAGTGTTGCTGCTCTGTTGTCTAGTATACCCCGATCATAAGCCCTACATCCCTAAAGCCTGATTGTGCTCGAATAAAGCCCAACACCCCAAACTAACCCTGCCTCTCTCTCCCTCTCTCTCTCTGTCGCTCTCTCTGGTTATATATATATATATACATATGTAAGTTCCACTACCGTAATTCGTTTATATATATATATATATATATACATATATAAGTTCCACTACCGTAATTCGTGAAGCCCAATATACACTCGAAATCTGTGACCTCTCAATGCTAGCCCTGCTGCCTCAAACCACTGCTGTGGCATCAGGTAGCTGGCGTGATGCCTGCACCTGGGTATTAGTGCAGGGTTTAGGGCACCTATGTGAGACGTGACCACAAATAAAAAATAATATACATCAGCAGGGCCACAAGCTCTAAGGGGCTGTGGCTTAGGGTTAGGGTCAATGTTTCGGGCAACAGCTTATTAAGTTTCGGGTCAGGGCTTTGTTGTTTATGATTCGGGTTGATTAAGCATTTCATCGGTTGGTCTTCACTTGAGGCCTTGTAATGGCTCTAGGATAGGGTTCACGGTGCCAGACTGACTCCTTCCGACAAGCTTAAAGGTCACTTACTGCAGGGTTTTGCGGGTTTGGAGTTAAGGGCCTTAAAACTAGAGTCGGCCATTGGTCATACTTGCAAGTACTATACGTATGGTAATGAGCCCCAGGGAATTATGCTGGTAATAATTACTTCCGACCCCTCTATTGCTCAGCTTGAACGGCGTTGAGGTATGGAGACGGGGTGGGGGTCTGGTCTAAAGACCCTGTAGCCCTGAAGCCCCAAATGCCTGCAAGCTGGCACTTTGCCCAAAAGCTTTGACCCCGCCCAAAACCCCAAACATCCTCAACGATCAAAGTATCGCTAGCCGAAAATTCCAAAGGACTAAGTCCCAGAGTAAAACCGGCAGAAATGCCCTAAAGCTTGAGGAAACCACTGAGAACCAGTGGTGTCCTAATTTGCCGGGTCTGGGGCTTAGGGTGTGGGAATTATGAGCTCTGATGCATGACTCCCTGCCGGCCGAGATGGCCAGAAGCAACCCACTGCTCTAAAGCCCACTTGAGAGCTGCGCTGCCGCGCCGTGGATACAGTCTCCGTGTTCACGGGGAATGGGCAAGGACTGCCTGTTGCAAAGAAGTGCCCAAAGCTTCCAACATCCTTTAACTACAAAATATACCTCATATTAGAATAGGATTCCTATCTGATATCAGGTGGATTGCTTAAATAAGGGATATTGGAAGGTCTGGATGGAGAACGCGGTCAAGTCTCGAGCATTTGAAGTGATTTCATGAGTCCTGAACTCTAGTCAGTACCCCAATCAAAGCTAAACCCTCAAACGCCGGCGCGCTAAACCCTGAGTCCTGCAGGATGTCCTAGATTAGGTGTCGAATGGTGTCGATTCAAAAGTCACCAAAATTATTTATGGTTGGGGCTCTCGATTAAACAATAAAGGAAACGATAATAGTTGTCTCAAATAGATGCCGTAGATTGAAGGACGAACTCACAACCCAACAACTTCTGAGGAGGAGACATGTCAACCCAAGCATATCCAAATCACTCATTGCATGATGGTGCAGGCTATAAGAGTTTAGAGTCCACGGTTTAGGCGGATCCGAAACCCCATCGTTCTAGGGGTAAGACCCTGTAACCTGGAAGCTTCAACTGACTTGCAAGGCCACTAATCCCCGTCAAGGACGGATTTAGGCAGCAGTCCATGGGGGAACTAGAGATTAAGCGTTGGGATCACCTAGGAATTACAGTACCTCTCGGAAAAGTTAAAGGTTATGGACTCTACTGCTAAATAACTAGTCTAACTTATCTATGGACCTTGAGGTTCCTATAACGTAGGGCTTTAATAATTAGAATAGGGTTTTGGGGCCCAGTAAACTATACATATAATCATAAGGAACCCCCCCAAAAAATAGTTATTTGTAATTATTTAGGCCCCTATAGTACTATTATTGAAGGGGCAGTGCTTAATAAGGGCTGGGGCCTCGCTTGGGACTGAGAGTACATAAGCATGCACATCTGGGTTTGTCGGGTAGGGTTTAGGTTTTTTTTTAAGTGCAGCGGGGCCTTTTTCCGCAGAGGTCCAGCCGTTTGTCGGCTTGCACTGGTTTAGGGTTTAGGGTTGGGTATTGGATCGAAGGTTTGTAAGTTTAGGGACGCCTTCGGCACAAGTCGCTGTGCGAGCGGCAAGAGCAACAGAAGCAACGAGAAGAGCATGGGCAGTAAGTTCTAGACCCGGAGCCCAAAAAAACAAATCCTGAATCCGAAAAGCAAATGAACCTCAACATCAAAGGCGTGGGTCCACACACTTCAGCCAGTCTGGCCTGGAACTGTGGCGTTGGTGTTTGCTTGCTCCTCAGCAAGCCACCTCGGTCTTTGACGAGCTTTAGGGTTAGGATGCTTTCTCGGAATCTGGGGCCCTGGACTCTGAATTTTAACTACGGTTAATCAAAGGATCAGGATGTGGGATTCAGGATTTGGCATTCTATGGGGTTCCGGACCAGTACCGCTTAGGATTTGGCGATGCCTTTCAGGGCTTTTTTATCTAACCTGACGTGCATCAAACTGGTTGTGAAGCGAGAAGGGTTGATCAAGGCAGCAACACCGAACAGTTGGAAGCGCTCTCTTCCCTCGAGCACATGCAAGTCGAAATGCAGGGGTCTATCTGGGACACGAGCACTGGACATGCAGGTGACACTGCAAGGAAGCAAGGTCCAAAACGTGTTTTCATTGATCTTCGGTTGAGATTCAGAAGCGCTCAAAACCGCTCGACTGCTTGGCGGGATGCCATGATGAGTCGACTGTTTTTTTGTGGGTCATGAATGAAAAATGTCACTGGTTCTGCGAGATGTCGGAAGCTTCACAGCTGTGCAATGAGACACATGCTTTTTGTCAACTGCTTCGCTCCTAACTCTGTCCTAGGCATGGGTGTGGCAGCAAGACTTGCACCATGCTGCTCAAATCCGTTAAGTCGATGCCACTTGCAACACTCTGCATCGCATGCTCATGGCAGGCTATTTCCGAGTGTCTGGGTGGCAAAAAGGCCGCAAACCGCCCGTAGAACCGGTAAGAGCGACACCCTTCAATCCAACTTTCGGGCGCCCGGCGTATCAAAGTGCTCCGCCATCCAGGTCATGTTGTTATGGTACCGCAGGTCAACCTTAGGCTTCCTTTTACGTAGGGTAACTTAAGGTCAGTGATACCGCAAGTTAACCTAAGGCTTCTTGAAATTGGTCTCCCCAACTTTGCGGCTTCGAGGATCTCACGGGAGAAGGGCTCGGAGCAAGTCTAGCGGGTTTGGGAGGTACTGAGAACAGGATTCCTTTCAAGGGATCCTTAAAGGGTTCCATATGGGATCTAGAAGGGTACTATAATATAGAGGCTGGGGGCTGTAGTCATGTTGTTCTGGTAATTCTGGTACCGCTGGTCAACCATTACTACCTCAGGTTTCCTCTTACTTGCCAGTACGTACTAGGGGGAGCTCATAAGGGCAATCTTTGCGATTATACCGGAAAGATAGTACACCAAAACGGCTATCCTAGGGAGCTAAAGGCTAATCTTTGAGGAAAAATCGGAGTTGTGGCACACCCAAAAACCTAGAAAACCCTAAACCCCAAACCTAAAGCTTGCCGACTATACTGCTGAGCAGTCTCCCAAGCGTTGCGGCTTCAGGCGTTTGCGGACATGGGGCTTGCAGTTCGGGGTTGAGGTGCTACTGCCTTTGGGATCCACGATGTCTAGGGATCAGGGCGTACTTGGAGGTTCATGGGTAGTTATAACTCAGGTTATCAGTCCCCTAATGGGGCTTATAGCTATAGTTACCTTACTTATAACCCCACTTGTAGCTACCCATGAACCTCCAGGTTGAGTTCCACATCTAGAGTCTCGAGGTTTCGGAGGTTGGTTTGAGGTTCGCGGCTGGAGATAGGGCTTTGGGGCTTGTAGTTCTAGATCTGGGGATTAGGGGTTCGTCTTTGCAACTCGATTTGCCAGCAATTCTGTGTTACTTGTGGAACATAATATTCAAGCCTTAGGGTTATACTGCTATTGGTATTGCTAGGTGGACATAGCCTTAGCATATCTTCTTGCTCTATAAGGCCTGGGGTCCGAACTTCCATACCCTCTATTTTTCCTCATGCCTGGCACCCTCATCTTCGGGCGAATAAACCATGGCTTACGTTCGAAGGAGGATGTTGAGAACTCGGCGACACATACAACGTCAAGAAGTTAAATAACTTATCTTTGGTTAGTAGGGAATGGAGGAATGGGGTACAATTATAACTACTATTACTACCATTCTTCCATTCCCTACTAACGAAAGGTAAGATAATAGGTGAGCAACACTTGTAACTGGTGCTGCCCCCAACTCCCAGACCATAGGTCCTGGAGCATAAACCTTAAAGCATTAACAAAAAAAGCCCACAGCACTTGCAGGGGAAGTAGCCTTTTCGTTGAAGGCGGTGGCAAAGAAGAGCACGTCGTTGTCCTAAGATGCAGGTTTTTGAAGTCAACTCGGGCTTGGGGGGTGTATGTGATAAGTGTGTGTGTATATATACATATATATATATATATATATATATATATGTATGTATGTATGTGTATGAAATACATACATACACACATTATATCAGGCACTCGGACTAAAGAATATCAGCATCGCTACCTTCATGAACTCCGCCGGCCTGCCGGATGATTTGCCGCTCTGTGACGCAGGCCTGGGCTCAGGCGGTGCGGTTGCGGGTCTAGTTTAAGTGAGGGCCTGGAACTGCGAACAAGGAATTAGAATAGGAATCAGTGTGCATAGTAGTTCCTTTCTTGGGTTCATATTTAGAATCATATAAGGTAATCCCAAAAAGGAACTACTATGGAGCCTTAGGGTAACCCCTAAACCCTAAGCCACGGATTGCTGTTTCTTTGCCTTGGTGCGGGATGTTGCAGTTAGGGGGCGGGGTGGGTAGGAAACCCTGAGGCTCCATGTACTCATATAGTCTATATCTAGGCCTTGAGGTACCCAGATAGGAACGGTACATGGGGCCTTAAGGAAAGATAGGGAAGGAAGATGCTTTACAGCCACAGGTGACGGGTTCAGGGGTCAGGGCTTTGGGTTTGAGCTAGGCAGTCACGTTGTGCGCTCAGGGTGCTCGGGATCAAGAGCCGCTTGTCCCAAAACCCTCTTCCTAGGACCCTCTGGCACAAGCCCACAAATCTTTGATGAGTGAACCCATGAGCCCTGACCTGCAGCCTTATAAGGCTTAACTGCCAGCAGCAAAATTAACCTTTACCCTGAACCAGAAAATCGTGTCCCAAACAACTAACTCCAGAACGCTTATCCTAAGCCCGAGCCCAAACAATCCGCAAACCCGAAACCACAGCTGAAAACCGCCCGAGCTTTAAACTCTCAAACTCACAGGCTGGTAGTATTGCCATTCTGAAAATCAAAGCTCCAACCCCCAAATATCCTTAAGCCCACCGTATTGGGGCCTAGAAGCAGCCGGGAACGCGGCCCTAAACCCTCCTAAACCCCAAAATCCCCAAGCCCCCGGAAAGGACGAGGCACCCCAGTGCCCACTTCGGGAGGTCCCAAGGCGCAGCTCGTGGCACAGCGGGGGCCTTGGCTTCTTTGTTGTTGTTGCTGGACGGTTTGGGGTTTAGGGCTTAGGGGCTTTTAATGCTTAAGGTTTCTTTCGGGTATATGGTTTAGGCGTAGGGCTGCAGGGTTTATAGTCTCGTTTATGCTCAACTCTCTAAAGTGAGCTTCGGGTTAGGGGGTTTGGGATGTAGGGCTCAGAGTGTTTGTAGGATTGCTTCGACGGGCCAAAAGGATTTTCTAAGTAGGTGATACAAGCACAGGAAGCCCCAAGTAGCATACGCATAGTGTAGGGGCCTTAATAAAGAGACTAGTGTTGGGGCATTAATGGGGTATATTATTGTGCTATAATTTCAATAAGGACCCCCAAAAAAAACCGTATTAAAGGTCCCTACATTCGGGCTTCGGTGCATACTTGACAACTGCTCTGGAATGGCGTTGGTCACTACTTCCCGAGTCCCAAGATCCTTCCAGAAGGGACTATAGGGCTTAGAGTTTAGGGCTTAGAGGCCTGAGGGTTTAGTTTATAGGGTTTAGGGCTCAGGGTATATATGCTTTAGGGGCTAGGGCTTAGAGCTTCAGGGCTTCAGGCGGGTCTCGAGTCGACGCCTAGTAGCTGGCTTCGCCCATAGGGTTTTAGAGCTTCGGGTGTCGCCATCGGTGAGCTTTGTGGTGTGACGTGGCTCTGAGTTTGAGTTTGGGGGATCATGGTGCTGGGTTTAGGCTAGCGTTGGAGTTCGAACCTTTCATTTGTGTCGCTTGGGCCTTTTGAGAACGAGTAGCTCCGTCTTTCAAGGCTTGGGCGCGTGAGCTATACCGGCTATACCTTCAGTTGGTGATCACTGTTCAGATCTGTTTAGCTTCGGCCTCTGATCCCAAATGCCACAAAATTACCAGTTTGTTGTCTTGTGTGGGGGTCAAGGTATTCCGTGGCTCGTGTGTGTGTGTGTGTGTGTGTGTGTGTGTGTGTGTGTGCTTTCTTTGTCCTGACTTCTTTGGCTGCTGAAACCTGCACGTCTCCATGACATTCCTCCCGTGTGGACGTTGCAGTCGCCCCCCGGCGTCCCGCACTTTCCACAAATCCAAATCCAACTGGCCGAAGACCCAGGTAAGGAAGTTCTCCATCTACTGGCTGTATATATGTATATGTATATATAATATATATACTGACGTTGGTCAGACGTGGGGAAGGTAGTTTTGGCACGACTGGAGCACCTTCGCTATCTGCAGAAACCGGAATCTGAGCTACGATAGCATTGTTACCCCGCTGGGTTGTCCCGGGACGGTCGCCAAGATGCATGACGCATGCTTCCTCACGCTTGATGAGGTCCGGGGCGAAAAGCCCTGAACTATCCTGAACTGTAGGCCTTATGCCTTTAACCTGTAAGCTCTGCAACTCTAAAGCTTAAACCGACACGCCCTACCCAAAAGCGCTGATGATTTAAGGCTTACTGTAAGCGCTACGACAATGAATGCACAGTGGGTTACCAAGGGCTACCATACTACCATAGCCTGAACTACCATAACTTACTGTCTTGTAGATTCTGCGTTTAAACTGTAAATGTGGATTTATAAGGACACTACAAGAAAGGAACCAGGTAGGGTTGTTGTAGTTCAAGGGTGCAATAGTAAATGGCTGCTGAGGTTGCGGCGCATGAACTGCCAGTTCCCCGTCCTGCGCTGCTCGGCTTGCCCGGGTTCGGCAAAGTCGGCTATAAACCTAACACCTGCTGTCCTGTTTTCTTCCGGAAAACCAATAACAATGATAGTAGCATAAAGAGAAATAGTCGCAATACTAGTGATCGTCGTTTTTATAGTAATCAAAACGATCATCAGTTGGTTTGGGTTTAGCTGCTGCTGACTGGAGCTGGCACCCCAGTCCCGTCTAAGACTTTCCATGGCAGCAAGATACGGTTCATGACGCGCTACGTGCTCGACCCTAGTTTCGGCACCCTAAAGTCTGAAGCCGCGAGCACCTCGGATGGTGATTACTTGGGTACTTGGGCCCTAATCCCGATACACTGAACCTCTGAAAACCCTGTATGATGGCAGACTGAGTATAACTAGTGTTGAGGGTGTTCATGGATGCCTCAGTATTCCTGAAAGGGTTATATGGGGGGGTATTGCCCTCTGAGGGTTTGAGCTACTAGTTCAGGCTGCTATATTGCATTCAGGGCTTTGGGTTTAGGCGATTGCACCCCTGAGCGGTCCCATTGCCCGGGTCATAGTCGAAGTTGTCTGTCGGACATGCCGTACCTGAAGGCTAAGCTTTTGAGGTTGTTTGTTGAATGCTCCTTTTCCTCCCGCAAGGTTCGTGGTTGGAACGCCATGATGGCCGAGGCTTTGGCAGACGACAAAACGGCTTAAGGTTTGGGCTGGCTAAACTCTTAACACTAAACCCATGAATCTTTCAATGCCTGGAGCATCTACCGACAAAACTTTCGATGCTGTCCAAATCCCTCATGCCCCAAAAGGTAACCGATGACCGCGCAGTCTGGGGCTGCATCTAGGCTCGAGGCACTTCATGTACGGTTCGTGCTTTCTGACGGCCTCGCTATACCCTAAACCTTGGGGTTTGGGTGCAGCATCGATCGGAGAGGTGGGCGTGGGCATTTGGGCGCCGAAACCTGGCGGTCCGGGGAGAGGGATCATATCTCTACATATACACATATTGTGTACATTTACATACAGCTATAATTACCTATACACACACGTACACAGACACATACACATATGCATATTACACTTGCATATGTGTAAAAGTATATGTAAAAGTGTGTGTGTATATATATATATATAATGTATGTGCGTGGGTGCACTTCTGCTTCATGAACGGTATATACGTTGACGGTGCAGTTCCGAACGCATAAATACCGTTGACAACTTACTGGCTGGATGCCGAAATTGATCAGACAGCTTTCGAGCATACACGTCTACAAGCACAGCTTGACAGGAGTGGTCATAACCGGAAGATAGTGCAATATCAAGCACAGGCGCACATGCTGCGACTGTGAGAAACTTCCAATCAAACCCAGTATAAGGACCCTAGCAAAATGACAGAACCCCTGATGCAAACAACCTGAAGAAGCCATGCAAAATGCGAACCCCACAAGAACCGCCTTAGAATCCTAAGAAATTGAATCCGAAGCTCTAAACTGGACCAGTAAGTCCCATAAAGGACGACCCTAAGAATCCCTTTCGGAATCCTTCGAACGAGAGCTATCGAAATCCCATAAGCCGTATAAAGCCTGCCGTACAAGAGCCGCACAAACACCTAGACAAAGACCACGTCCTCAAACCAAGGGAGGGTGCCGGTGAGTCCGGTCACATCGTTCCAAAGCTGCAGCCGCAGGTGTGGCTCGACCTCGGAAGGCTAACAGCGGTGTTTACGGGGCTTTTGGCTCGGGTCCTAGGATTTGTTCTGAGGTTTGTATCGAGGCTCTTTCGATGCTACAAGACAGTTGCAGGAACCTCCATAAACCCTAGGCCTAAACCCCAAACGCTTGAAGGAATTCCCAAACAGGTTGTCCGTCTTAAGTAAAGGCCTTCTGTAGGACGTTCGGGATTTCGGTTTCGGGCTCCTGCACTCTCCCGGTGCGCCCTACACAGTTATTCAAGGCCTACACCGAAATTCCGCAGCCCAAGGAGGGCATCACATGTCTAAGGAGAAATCATGAATGCAGAGCCCTGAAAAATGAACCCACACCCGGCCTATAGAGGTTATGATTGTAGGGATTCAAAAAAAGATACCATCAAGACAGTGGGTTTACCGATCAGGGGTCTACATTGCTTTACTCTGCTCAGAGGCCGTCAAGGAAGCATAATGGCCTGGTGCTTTACGCTGTTCTGTCTCTCTTAAGAGCAACCACAACTCCTCAAACCGCTGAAAACCCTCCGACCCCCAAACACTTGACACAAATAACAAACCCTAAACTTCTAAGCCCTCAACCCCTAAACCTACTAATTACCAAAAAACACGCCCTGAACCCTGAACCCGTCAAGCTCCAAAAGCCCAAAGCCCCCAAATTCCTGGACCCTAAGCCCTAAACCCCTAAACCCCTAAACCGTATAAATCCTAAACCTAAAGCCGTATAAACCCTAAACCGTATAAACCCCAACCGCTGGGCTCTAAGCCTTGATAAACTTGGTTTAAGCCGAGCTGCCGGAACGAAGTAGACTTGGAACAAGGCGATCGATGCGGCAACCAGCGCCTTGTGGACGGTGTCAGCTACATATATAGGGGGGACATCTATAGTAGGGGATAGTAGGGGTACCATGCGGGTTGTTGTAAGAGCTACCATCTGAGGGCCCAAGGGACCCAATGAATATACTAGGCTTTAGGATAGGGTAGAACATATGTATTCGGTACTGCAGCCCTACGTACACGAAGAACATGAAACACTCAACAATCATTCTACCTCTCACACTTTTACGCCCACCCAACCTTCACGGACCGGCTAAGCCGAACAACGCCGGCAAGCCAGCTTCGGGTAGAGGCACACTAGGGTCTGGCGGTTTGTAACACGACCAGTTTGTGACTCCTCGTCATTACGATCGAGTGCAGACTTTTCATGTCCCTACGACACATTGACGGCAATGGGCTTGGCCTTCAGATCTACTATTGCTGCTACTAGTGCTGGAAGGAACATATCCGTATGAGCAGTAGCATGACTCTTCCAGCGATTGCTGCCCAATTCAGCTTAAGATGTGATTGATCACCATAAGCCCTAAACCCCCAAACCCTAAGCCCTGAACCCGACTGCTTTGCTTGCTACGATGAAGGCTGAAGCTGAGGTGGCCACGACGAGGATAATGTAGACGCCTTGAAGTCCAGGGCAATTGTTCGGATTAAGGGTTTAGGGTTTTAGGGTTTAGGGGGTTTAGGGTTCTGTGGCGTCTGCGCTTTAAGAGTCAAACACGTTTTGTGCTAAGGGCTGTGGGTTTAAGAGTTCAGGACTGTAAGTTCGGGGTTTGTGTTTGGGGCTCCCGATAGAGCCTCGGTTTGTCTGAGCGATTTGGCTTGCCAGTCGCAAGTTCAAAAATCGCGCATGTCAAAGCCATACCTGCAGCCCCAACCCATATCTATACCAGAACCTACCAAACCCTGCTTTTTTGTAGACTCCAAATTAGGGTTCATAAAAAGAACCTACAAGCAAGTAGGGTTTGGTAGGTTAAGGTAGGGTATAACCCCTAAAACATTGCGATCTAATTTCAGACTACAGGGTTAAACCATGCTTCATTCAGCGGGAGAATGCATCCACTCGGCAGCCGGGGTTTTCGAGCGGTTTGAGTACTTCCACTTGCGCCACTGCGCAACAATTGCGCATACAAATCGTGCACAGCAGCGCGATTGGAGCCACCCAACACTGAATACATGCGATGGATGGATTCCTGCCGATCGTCTGAAGTTCGCTCCTGCAGCTCCAGTTGCGAAAGCTGCGCCGCAAGCTGCAACTCGTGGGCCCGGTGGTGCGCCTTACTGACCCTCGAAGTGCCTTGGCGGATGTTCATGCGACTTACCAAGACCACGAGCTGGTGCTCGGCGCGAGTCAAGCCAATCCAACGGCGAGCTGTTTTAGGGACTTATAAATACCATAAACCCAATTAGGGTCCCTTTTACGGTACTTATAAGTCTACTTACTACCTACTTACTAAGTCCCGCGACCCTCCAAGCATTGATAACCTGGTCCTCCTCATGCCAAGGCCGACTTGAGCAATCAATGGATGTAGTAAGTGAAAGACATGACCGCTGTTCATGCAGGAACCTTGTAGGGACCCCCCAAATCACAGAAGTACCTAACTTGCGCACGCTACATCCCCAAGACCCATGCCCCAAATCCCTAACACCCTGCTTTACAATCCTGGAAAATATCAGTTGTCGTAAACCCTAGAACCTCAACCCTAAGCCCTTAAAACCTTCTTTCGCGTAGCCCGAAACTCCAGCAAACCTTAAAGTGTGAACGGTCAATCTCTTACTTGACCAGTATCCTGGGGAAACTTATGGTCAACCTTTGGCATCATATACGAACAAACATAATATCCCCACAAAAAGGTTAAAGGTTACCTACTCTACTCATAAGATCTCATAAGGATCGCTGCTCAGGCACAGATGTAGAGGCCCCAAAGGCGACTATTTTGGATGGCGACCTCGTTTCATTGAATCGGGACTGGGTTCGGTTTGAGGGTTCCGGGTTTTAGGCTTGGGGAGGTTGGCTTTAGGGCACACCCTACTGCAGGGACTGGTGCTTTCTGCGAGTGTGGGTTCCATTGTAAATGTTACCTCTGGCGCAAAGTGGTTTGCTGGCTGTTGAGGCTGTGGCGAGAATTCTGAGAATGCGTTCAGGTCCTCTAGGGTTCAGGGTTTGGTATGCTTTCTTTAAAGCCTTATTGAATTGCACATGGGGATACTTGCAGGGTCAATGATGTAGCCAGCATGCCACATTCCAGGTTCAGGTGTGTGGTCGGGAATCAGGATCAGAGAGCATGGCTCACACCAGCTTTCAGCGCTCAAGTCCTGTAACGTATTCTTCTTTCATGGACCCACCCACTCCTCAACAAAAAAGCAAAAAAACTGGAACCCACAACCCCAAGTGCCCAAACCCTAAACCCTAGAACCTCCTGAAACCCTAAGGTGACTTTGAGGACATGCGAAGTAATTAGAGGCGATTGCTAGCGGGGGCTGTACGGGGTTGAATGATAGGGTTAAGGGTGCATCGGGTTTAGGGATTTACTATGAGTCCAGGGTCTAGGGTTTGGGGTTAGGGTTTAGGGTGCAGTGTTGAGCGCCGACCACAAGACCAGTGCCCCTGTTTATGGCTTCCTTTACAGGGGGATCTATGTGGGCTGCTCTAAGACTGCTATAAGAGTTATGTAACAGAAGAAGCCATATAACCCGCGAAAGCACACCCCAAGGCCATGAAGGCCTCCTAGAGGCCTTCAGGATCTTGGGGTATAGCTTCGAGCTTGTGGTTTAGCATTTAGGGTTTAGGGATGTTTGGGGGCGTGTGCCTTGTGAAGCACTAAGGCCCACAAGATTTCCAACATTCGACACAAGCCCAATCGCTCTGCAACAGTTCCCAAAGCTGAGCCACCACCAAACCCAGAATTGAACTTCAGGACACCAAAACCCAGAACCTGAGAACCCCCTGAACCCGAAGCCCCCCAACTCCATGTCTTAGAGATTCGAGGTTCAGGGCTTAGGACTCGATATTCCTTCTAATCCTCCCTAAGGAAGCCCAAAAAGGCCCTGAGGTGTGGGCCCATTTTGTGAAGTAGACGCTGGGTAACTGCAGCCGGCAGTGGGGTGTCAAAGAGGAGGGAATATAGGGGCCTTAATGATTAGAATAGGGTTTGGGGCCCATTATACTGCAATTATAATAGGGAGCCCCCCAAATAGTATTGGTAATTATTTAGGCATGGTCTGGGGTTTGGGGTTTAGGGTTTTAGGGTTTAGGATGGTCTAGGGTTTAGGGCTTAGTCTTTTAAAGTTAAGCAATTCGAACATGGTTTCTGCCACTTAGGCGCGTGCAGATTCATTATTCTCAAGGGCTACGGGGTGCGGTGGGCACCTGTGTCTTCAGCTGCTTAGGAACTGCTGCTATTCTACCGCAAAAATGGGTCTGACAACTGGTGGTAGACGGTGTGCGACAGACTGGTTCTTCTCGTTTCTCACTTGGGAAAACGAGGATAACAGCCCGGTCTCTCGGATACTATGTCAAAACTGAGTGATCACATCCTGGTAACTAATAGGCATTTGCTTCGGGGGCATGCTTTGCAGAAACACGTAGCAAACAGAAATGAACCAGAACTATGGTAACTGGCGTTACACGTTGCTCCAGCGCTGTACGGATCTGCTTAAACTGAATTTCCCCATGGATCAACACGGCTTCAACCTTCAACTATGGGACACACGATGGCACCCGTATCAATTAGGGCAGGGGCTCGGGGATGCATTTTGTCACGTTAGGGACCGCATGGATTCCTCTTGTGACTGTGGATTTCGGAGGATGTTCTGTCACGGCGCAGCTGCAGAAACAGTTTTAGGTGGCCCCTATGATCAATCTAGTCAGGAGAGCCGACCGTAACCCTTAATGTCTCCACAGATGCCAAAGGACACCAAGAAAACTTAATCAGCAAACACTCTACGACTTAAATGGGAATCGCGAACACATGACACCTAAAACCAAAACTTGAATCAATCAAGACTGATAGCACTGAAAAGAGAGGAACTCCGGGTATGCAGCCTGCCCACGGAGCGAAGACACAGGCGAGAGAGTCACTACCCGCCATCCTAAGTGCCTACATAGAGCGGCACTGTCAAGTGCAACACATCAAGGTCGTAAACCCTACATTCGAAACCCCTTTAATGTTGTTGTCGTTACCTTGCCGAGCCCACCCACAGCACTCCACCTTCGACCCTATGCCCTGGTTTCGATTTATACAAGAAGATGACGAATAACAACAGTTGTCATCATGAAGATAAACGTGGTAGCAAAACCGAGCAATGATGTCAAGGCACGGGTCCTATGTTAGCATGCTAACATGTCAAGGCAGCAACCTTGGCTTAACGGTCACGCCCTGAACCTGCGCAGAACCTGCATGTAATTGGAGTGTTTACAAGTAGCTTTACAGACAGCGAGATTAAGACTCCCATAATCACTGCACTCTCAATTGTAGACCCTGCGCTCAAACTCGTCCGGGGATTCTCAAAAAAAAACCCAGCAACCTGAAACTCATAACATCAACACGAAACCCAACCCAAACCCCACGCTAGACCCGAAACCCTGGAAACCCTAAACTCTAGACGGACTTTGGGCGCTCAACACCTTCCCTCAACCCTCTATACTCCCGAAACCCAAATCTCAAACTTCTAAAATCCTAAACCCTGAAACCCGATATAAAGACATGAATAATGGTAACAATGACCCTTTAGGGCTTCAGGCCCCTGTAGAACCATACTGAAATATGCCGCAAATCCCCATTCTAATTTGTGCCCTGGGCCCTTGACTAAACTGCAATAGGAGCCGGGTAGAAACTCTTGCTCCAATCATTTAAGCCCCTACCCCTCCGCCCTAAACCTAAACCCTTATAAATCCCTAAACGCCCGGCAACCCTTGAAGCACGTCATTTGCATTGGAACGCCACAAGGCCAAGACTGCAACTGCTTGTACCATCGAGTTGCGCTCGCTGCCCATGGTCCAAGTTGGCATAGTATAGCCTTCGAACGTAGGTACTTCCTGAAGGCCTTGCTCTTTTCCTCCTCCCTTTTTTCCAGTCTTTTCGTTTTTTCCTCCAGCTGTGGTGGAAACGAGTGCCGGTGCAGTCGCCCGGACGGAAACTCCTGCACCAGGCGGAAGCTCGATGCAGTCGACCAACGTCGACCTGCTCATGCCTGCCACCAGAGGATGATCGCTGTAGTTTTCCGTATTAGTATAAGTATTAGTATTAGTCTTACTATAACTATTACTATTACGGCAAGGGACTTCTTTGACCCTAAACCCTAATCAAGCTTTCAACCCTAAACCTTAAACCCTTAACTAAGCCGGAAGCATGAACGCTAAACCCTAAAACCCTATAACCCTGAACTCCAATTTAAACCCTAAACCCTCAACCCTGAACCCCAAAACCTAAACTCCAACTTAAAGCCCTAAATCCCGGCCCCTGATCCCTCAAACTCCTTCTCTCGTAGGTACTGCCAATATATCTACACGATGAATATATTGTTCAACGATTACTGAGTGGGGGCCGTACCCAAGTTCTCTCTACCAAACCCTGCACCATCCGAGCCAGGCGCTGAGAAGCCCCCGCGCCCCATGGGCGCTGCCGGCCCCTAAGGGGAAAACCTGGATCGCAGTATTATATAGGGTTTAGGGTTTAGGGGTTTAGTGGTTTAGGGGTTTAGGGGTTTAGGGGTTTAGGGAAGCGTTTGTGGGAATTAGAGGTTACAATAGGGGTTTAGGGATTCGGGACATAGGGGTTTAGGGCTCGGGAGAGTTTCCTGCAAAGGTCAGTGGTGTGTACATGGTTCGTATAGATATTGATAGAGGTTAGGTGTAAACCAAAATCTAGGCTTTATTGACAGCGCTTTGGTGTAGAAGCCAGGCTTCTGGGCTTTATTAACGCTTTCGGGGATAGGGCGTTGAGGCTTGAAAGTTGTGTGGTGTGTTTACGCTTCCTCTGATATTCGGCTTTCTTGCCCTAAGCCCTAAACCCGGAACCGTTCGTACTATTGCGTTTGGGGTGTTGGACGTCTGTGGGATTAGGGCTTGGAGAGCTGTAGCACCGGAGGATAACGATGGTTGGCAGATAAATATTGTAGGTTCTTCAGTTTCTGGCTGCTTACCATGCTCTCCCCCGTCCCGGAAAGTAACACACTCCTCAGCTGAAAAGCCTACATATAATATGAGGACATTTGCTGAGATTCCTGGCGAAACAAACCATAAATTGACATAAATGCTACCTGTGCTTCTGCTCGATCTTACGGGTGCGTGTGTATTTGCATATATATATATACACATATGTCTAAGCATGTTATGTCACAAAACCGAAGGTTATCTATCTACTCAACTGCGAAAGTAAAAACACTTTGGGCCTTCGCCCCGTTAGATCAATGGCTGCCCCCGAACTCTATGCCCAAATCCTAGATCCCGAAAGCCTCAATGCCATACTCGTATCACATGTCTAGAACAACTTTCCTATGCCCCTAAATAAGCTAGGACCTACTTCGAAGAACCGGTCATAGTTACCTTAAGCTACCATAACCTGCTTTTATCCAGGCTTATATCTTAAACCCTACTATGGACTTTTTAGGGACCCTACAAAAAAGTAGGTTTTGGTGGTTAAAAGTACAAAAAACCCTATAAAATTTGTTCCAGCCCCCTGGGCTTCAGCCGCGGGGAGGCGCCGATCCCCAAGAGCTCTGAGGTTCGCACAATCCGTAGTGCAGATTTGAAGGGCCGAAACACATGCCCTCCCTAGGAGCCGAAAAGGACCGAGATGCAGATTCGGGCGACGGCTCGACTTGAAAACTCGTGGTTCAAGCCTGTGGCTTTTATGGTCTCATTTGATTGAGGCTTTGGGTCTCAGCTGCTGGGGCTTGCGCATGGGGTTTCGAGGATGTTTATATCTGCTTCTATAAGGGAGCTGGAAACTTAGTTGCTGAGTTCATAAGCCCCGAAAAGTGTACACTTTCAGATCTATAGTGGGTAATTTTACCCCCCAAAAGTGTACCGTGTCTCCACCCAGCTACTAAGGGAACGACTCTATAAGGGCTTTAACGGGCAAAAGCTCTGTATCGGGGATATTACCGGGTGTTTGGGTTCAGGCTTTAACCTTAGAAGCTGCCCCCACCCTGTAATAGTGACTATAAGGGTTATATAGTTATATTCCTATTATACCACAATTACAGGGTGGGGGCAGCTTCTAACGTAAACCTCGAACCCCTGCACATATTCATTGCCACTAGAGCCCTCAATCCTCAAATCTGAGCTCTGACGCCCTAACCAGAAAAACCTCAACCCTGAGCTCCAAAGCCTTAACCTTAAAAACTAAGCCGCGGCTTCTAAACTCAAAACTAATAAACTCTATTCAAAACTCTGAGCCCGAAGTCGCAGTCGACTAAATCCCCCAAACTGATTTCGTCCCACCCGTGCGCCAATTGTTGTTCGGTGCAGCGGTCTGCTGTGTGGGGCAGGAGCCGTTTGCGGAGCAGGGGCTCGTTAAAAGGTTTATGCAGGACCGTTTAGGGCTTTAGGTTCAGGGTTTAGGGTTTAAAGGTGCCAAAACCCTACAGCCTAAAAGGCTACGACCCTAAAGTCACAGGGCAGAGAATTTCTAAGAGTAGATCGGAGTCACGGGGCGTGGTTCGCAATGCCATGTAAGAAGCTTGCTCTCTCAACATGTTTGGAATATTGCTTGTAGTGTAAAGCACCCAGCCCAAACCTGTTGAAGCCTGCACAAGTATAGTATTGCGGGCTGTCTTGATGAATCATCGTTCGGGCTTCTATTCTAGTCTGGAGTACATGTCATTATCGGGTGAGACACCGAAAAACATTCGGTAGTTGGGGCCACATGACCCTGCACCTTAAGCCCTGTACTCTAAGCAAGTTTGTAAACATCATGGAAAGACCTTTATCCTAAACACCTTACACCGCCTGAACCACCCCTAAAACCAAGCCTCTGTCGTCGCAAGGGCCCACAGCGCCTCTGATTCCCAAGCAAAGGGAACGTTTCGGCCCAATCGATCGAAGGCTCCGCCTAAACGTGATAAGGATTACCCTTAACCTAGACCCTCAAAAGTAGGCAAAATAGTGGCCCAACACCTATAAAAGGCTATTATTCTACATACTTTTGGGGTCTAGGAACCCTGAATAACCTACCTTTTTAGGGATCCTTATTATGTTTTCCTTTTATAAGTCCTTAAAAGGTAGGTTATTTGGGGATAAGGTAAGGTTACGGTGAGTCTTTTTCCGGTCCAAACCCCTCCACTCCAAGACCCAGAATCCACCCTGAGCCCAAAACGTTAAACTGTTCCCAACACCCCAATGTAGAGATCTTCTGAAGTCAAAGTTGAAGGGATGCTCCTGCACTAATGGACAAAGGCCAGTAGGCCGTATCAGTAGGCCCTGTAGCAGGCAGTATCGAGTATCGAGTGAAACCTTGCGAGACTGTGCCCAATACAGTGGCCTTGCCAAGTAGAGTAGGGTGTTGGGGTGCCATGCAAAGAAAAAGAATTTGGAATGACCCCAACAAACCAAAACCCTAAACCCTAAACGGCCCTAAACCGTTAAGCTACTTGCAAGGCCCAGCAAAGTTCCCTTTGAGCTATACAAACCCGGCGCGACCGCTGCCATGGAGGGTGCACCAAACGACACTTGTCGAATCAGGCAGGATTCAGGGTTTAGGGGTTTCGCGCTTGCGGAGTTTTGGGTTTGCGGCTCTGGCTCTTTAGGGTTTGGGCTAGTAGGCTACCGGATATGAAGTTGGGGGTTCAGGCTTTCGGCTTTTGGGGTTTACGGTGCTCCTTCGTAACATCCGGAACTTCCGGAACAGCCTGGCAGTCAGTAGGAAAGGCAAGTTAAACCCTCCACAGGTGTTTGTTTGCTTGTTGCAGCTTCCTAGAGGGGGCTTCAGGCAGTCGACTCAGCGTTTCCGAAGTACAGAAAAGACACAGACACCCCAAACCCCAAACCCTAAATCCTAACCCCTATACCTGAACCCTGAACAACCTACCCTTTTTAGGTTTCCTCATTATGACTTCTTTAAACAAGTCCCTTAAAAATACTAGGTTTTGCGGGGTTAGGGTATATACCCCAAGGCCCAAGCCGTCTACAGCTGTTGGACTGCTTTCTTGGCTAAGCTAAGCCCAGAGGGGCGAAACTCCGAAGGGGCCAAACGGTCGCTTTAGGGGGTTTAGGGCTTGGGGTTTAGGGTTCCGGGTTTGGGGTTTAGGGTTTAGGGCTTGGGGTTTGGGGTTTAGGGTTCCGGGTTTGGGGTTTAGGGTTTAGGGGTTTAGGGTTTCGGGTTTGGGGTTTAGGGTTTAGGGCTTGGGGTTTAGGGCTTGGGGTTTGGGGTTTAGGGCTTAGGGCTGGGGGTTTGGGTTTAGGGCTTAGGGTTTGGGGTTTAGGGTTTAGGGCTTGGGGTTTGGGTTTAGGGTTTAGGGTTTGGGGTTTGGGGTTTAGGGTTTAGGGGTTTAGGGGTATACCATAAGCTGGAGGGGGCTTCATATAATGATTTAAAATACATTCCTTAATTAAGGCGTATTGGTATTGGGCTCTCTGGGAACACGGTTATAACGCATATCCCTGACATCAGCACAAGAAGTCCGGACAGGATAGAGTGTAAGGAAGTGGGAATTTCAACATCCGTAGGCATCTCGAACCCGAATTGGCTCCAGTTTAGGGATTAGGGTCTGAGGTTTTCAAGATACCCCCTAGACCCTAACCCCCAACCCCTAAACCCTGTACGGGAAAGGTCGGGAGCCTAGAGCCTCTAACTCGAAATGCTTTGTTGGAGGCAACAAACACTGAAATCCTGGTGCACCCTCTGACATCGACGTGTCCCCCCTTCAGCGATGCGCTCGGGCTGCTGATCGCTGCCTTCCTGACTGTCGCAACAAAAGAAATCTATACCCTCAGCTGTCCAACATGATTTCTGAGCCTTTGTCTTGGGGCTAAACAACGGCTAAGAGAACTATCCAGCTCTTGTGAAATTGGAACAACAATTCGAGACCAGCAAGGGCCATCGAAGGCATCCAAACCACCAAACCTTAAGCGGTGGTTCAGTGTTTAGAACCGTTTAGGACTTTGATGTGCAACTCGAGAAGCATGCAAGTCAGGTTGAGGCAGCACGGGAAGGCTCTTAGAGAACGCCTCTCTCACTGTACGTGATGACATGCAGCGGCAGCCAAGCAGGGTGGTGGGTGTTTTGCAGAAGTAACAGCCTCTCTTGATATGTGGAAGTTCAGGAAAAACAAGGACCCAGATAATACCCTGAAGTAGAACCTAGGTAGTAAGATCCCGAATACAAGGACCCCAAGAAGAGGGAATCCACAGCTTGCTTAACCATCACTCCTGGGCAAGGACATGGCAACTGATCTGTCCATTTTGGGGTTTCGGCTGCAGCATTTAGTAGCTCGATTTAGGGATGCTAGCAAATGTTGCAACAAAGAAAGGCTGGAGCACCTCATCGGTCAAACCCCAAACCCAAGAACATCACGAGCCGCCCTCTCATCCTTCTATCTAGCTCCGTGGTAGCACACATAGGCTACTGAAGTGCCATATTATGTCAACAGGGACCGGCAATTGCAAAAGGATT